CCCCCGTCTTCCCCTCCCCCCGTCTCTCACAGCCCTGCGGTGCTGCCGCTCCTCTTGGGCCCCCTCCAGCCGCCCCTCGGTTGGGCCTCCCCGTTATTCGTTCGTGTTGCCTTACTCTTCCCTTCCCCCTTCATGTTCCTGACCTTTATGTTCTGTTTCTTCCCTTTCCCTCCCTTTCAGTGGTTCGTCTTACGCCCGCCCCTTCCCCTCCCTCGTGCTGCTGCTGGTGGTCCTTGCCTTGCCTTCCCCTCCCGCCTGCTGCTCCTCCCGCTCCCTCTCCTCCGGTCAGTCAGTCCCTCGCCGAGTGGTTCAGTGTGGGGCTGATGCAGCTGCAACCCATTTCGTGGGGGGAGTCATCTGCGGCCCTGCTGGTGCGCGCGTGTGTGTGCGTGTGTATATATGTATATATATGTGTGTATGTATATGTGTGTGTGTCTCCCCCTGCGTGTGTGCTACAGTTCAGCTGAAGTATACATACGTACGTACATACATACATACATACATACATACATACATACATACATACATACATACATACATACACGCAGGAGCGTGTGATGCGCTGTGAGGCGGTTCACCCGGTACGCAGCTGGGATGAGTTACAGCGGCGCCTGGGCCCCGGCCGCCGTGTGTTCGCCTTCACCCACCCCTGCATGCCGGGGGAGCCTCTGGTGGTGCTGCACACCGCTCTGCTGGACAGGGTGGGTGGGTGGGTGTCGGTAGGGCTAGCTGTCTTCCCCGGGGCGGGGGGGGGGCGAGGGGGGAAGAATGGATTGCGTGAGGTGTGGGGGGGGGCTATTGGGAGGATATGAAAAGAGGGAGGATCCAGAAGGTTCTATTGTTGTGAGGATGGTGGGGAAGGGGGAGGGGAAGAAGGGGGAGGGGGATATGGTGATCCCGTACTCAGGGCCTTGGTGATTGATCTGTATTGATTGATGATGTTCTTCAAACTCCCCCTCGCGCCCGCCCGCCCGCCCGCCCGGACCTCCTTACAGCCACCGTTGTGTGAGGAGGACCCGCACAAAGTTGTGTCACACCCTCCACCCTCCTAGCGCCGTCAGACCCTCTCCGGTCCCCCGCTCCGGTCCGGCCCATCAACACACACACACCCCACCCCCTGGTCATTATCGTTCCCTCCCCCCTTAAAATCATATTACGACACGAAACACAGCCCGCCGCGTCCATGTCAGACATCCTGGAGGATGAGGAGGAGCGGAGGCACGTACATCAACGAGCAGCGACTGCCAAGGTTCAGCACCAGCATCAACTTCAGCAACAACAGCCACATCAGCAGTTACGGCAACAACAGGAGCTTAGAGGGCAACACGGCAACGATGAAGGGAAGTTTGACCCCCAGCATCTTCACCCCCAGCATCTTCACCCTAAAACCCTCCATCCCACCACGGCTGTCTTTTACTCTATATCCGCCAGCCAACCAGGGCTTCGGGGTATAGATCTTGGACATTTCTTAATCAAACGCGTTGCGGAGCGACTGATGGTGGGTGCAACTGCTACTTCCTATTCGTGACGTGCGGCAGCGCCGCTGCTGTAAAGCCGTTTGCTGTGAATCTGCTGTGATGTCATGATGCACTTGCACCTGCACCTGCACCTGCACGTACGTAGTGGCGACGGTTGATTACATCAGTGATGTGAACTGTTGGGCCCCCCTGGGGATGGCTTCTTTTGTGTTTGGCGTATGTGTGATGGGTGGGAGGGGCCGATGACGAGTGCGTCGTGTTTTGAACGGCACGCTGCCGCGGTCTCGCACTGCCGCTCTGCCCTCCGAAACCACAGGCGGAGCACCCCAGCTTGCGCCGACTGGTCACCTTGTCGCCGCTACCCAACTTCCGAGCGTGGCTCGTATCCAGGTTGAGACAGGAACAAGGCAATGCGGCCGCTGCTGCTACTGCTGCTACTGGACTGGCGGCGGCGGAGCAGCAGCAGCAGCAGCCAGGATCTGGTGGCGGCGCCGACGCCACCGCTGCCGCCGCTGGTGGTGACGGCGGTGATGCAATGCTGCTACAGCCCCACGAGGGTGAATCGGTGTTGGGGTTGGCCAGGGCGATGGGCTGGAGGGCTGAAGAGGGTGGAGTCGCCGCCAGCGCCGCCGGCGGCGCCGCCGATGACGACGACGACGACGATTTTGGTTCAGCGGCAGCGGCGGCGCTGTGTTGGCTTCTGGAGGATGATCGTTGGCTGGTGCAGCGACGGGAGGGTGGGAGCCTTGTGCAGGGTGGGTACGCGCCGTACGTCCCCAGAGGTGCCACGTCGACCCGCGTGGGCGGTAGGTGTGCCTCCGCTTCCTCCACCGCCGCTACCGGCATCGACGTCGATGGCGACGGCGGCGGCGGTGGCGGCAGTGACGGCGACGGCGACCACACGGCTGCTGAGTCGGTCCTTCGGCCGCTGCTGCTGAGGCTGGCGGCGAGATATTTGGCCTTGGAGAAACGCCGTCGCTTTGCTTTGTGTCCCGTGGCGCACTTCCATTTGCGTAATGGGGCTGTGATGTGGCGGCTGAACTGGCGGTGAGTGCCGTCACTGTGTGTGCAGGTGATGGTGGGTCTGTCTGGCGGGTTTGAATGCTTTTTGAGTGGCCAGATGCTGCCGCTGGTGTCGGGAAGGAGAGCCGCGAACAGCATACATACATACAAGGTACACGCCTTTTTATGTGCAGCCTTTTGCTTCTAAGAGCCTCAAAGCTGAAGGCTCAGGGCTCCTAAGCCTCAAGGCTCCTAAGACTCAACTCCTGATTTATTCAAGTGAAGGAACGAGGGTCTCTGCCGTATACCCTGTCGTACCCCTGCACGTCTGTCTTCAGTTTCATTGTTTTGAATCCGGCCAAAACAAATTTCCTGATCTCACTTTCACTTTCACACTATTTTTTGAGATGTGCGCCAATGGAATGCGGGTCGCTATTGGGAAGGGTGTGCAGGTGGCGTTACAGCAGAGGAAGCAGCTTACAGGCACACATACAGAAATGTACGAATGTACGACGACTTCCGCATGTCATGTCATGTCACGGACTGGGTGGATGACGACCCAAATCTTCCATTTAAAAGAGAACCCGAGGGAAAAAGTTATAGTAATCATGGGAGGCATGCGACTGTTGTTGTTGCTGCTGTTGTTGTTATATTTTATTGTTGTTAAATTGTTATCCTTTATTACATTGTTTTTGTTGGGGCCATTGCAGAGCCGACATGAGCACCCTAGGGCTGAGTCGCAGCTTCGGCATCATGGTCAACTACGAGTACGACTTGCCGTATGTGTACGACAACAACTGGAAGTACATCATGCTCCATGAGGTAGGTATGGTGCTGCACCCACACATGTGTGCGGGTGCTCTGCTACTGTAGTGATACTGGCGCCGCTGGTGCTGCTTGCCGTACTTTTCAATGCCGTACTTTTGGCTGTGCCTATTATCCGCAATTCAGATAAACGCTGGGCACTGGCTTTGTGTGGATTGCATTGTTGCTTTTCTTATACCCTAATTTGAGCGGCAAGTTGCCGCAACCCAAGTGACCTTTACCTGTGGAGTTGCTTTCATAAGCAAAAGGTTTTGCAAGATATGGATTCGCGTGTTTTGTTGCCTTCAGACACAAAACCATTCTCATGTCGCAGTGACCCCCCCGGGGGGAAAGCGCATACGCTTTAGGATTTATTTCCTAAAGCTACCATAGGTGTAGCAGGCGAGGCCTGGGCTATCGTACATTTGTACATCCGTACATGATGTCATGATACATCTGTGATCATCTTCCTCACGGCTGCAGATCCAGGTGCATCCTCAAGTCCGGGAGCTGCTGCTGTGAGGCTTAATTGGGGAAAGAGGGCGGTTTGGGAGCACACCGTCGGCTGGCGGGATCTCGCGGGAGCGACGGTGCTGGCCTGTGTGGCTGTTATTGTGGTGGTCGCGGCGATGGCAGCGGGAGGGCGGCAGAGGTCGGCAAGCGACCTATTTCAGCTGCTGTGGGACCGTTCATACTATTATTACAAGGGCAGATTTCCAAGGGGACCTTTTGAAATTGGAAGTTTTAAATTTAAAGTCACCGGAAATGCTCCTCGGAGAGCGGCCGGGAGAGCAGGTTCCTGTTTGCCTCGCAGGCCGTAACGCAGCACAGCCGCAGCGACTTGTATAGCGTATCTTGAGAACTCGGGCTGGGTTCGTATTACAGTATATGTCATAAGAGGTCAAAAGGTTTGGCACCAAGGGAGTGGCCAGTTAGCACGGCCGCGTATGTGGGTTTGATTGATGGCCTCTGTTAGACCATGTAACGAAATCGGTTGTGTACAGCTCCTTTGAATCCGTCGTGCGAAAGGCAACACCACAGGCGTTATCATCAGGTGAGATCTTGTCGGGGATGTTAGCATAAAGCTGTGGTTAGTGGTTCGGTATAGCAGCGCGAAGAGCTTCCGACCTCCTAGGTCAATGCTCGTCAAATAACTGTTCCGCAGCTACAATTCGCTGCCTAGGCAGGTATGTTCCAGCATGTTTCTTTACAGAATATCCCTTGTACATGTAATAGCTAGTTTACATGCTACGTTACGTTAAGACTTTTTGGAAAAAGTGGTCGGTTCGGGCATGGTAACGGTACGTTACCGGTAACGTAGGGGACGGTGAATTTCGTCAAACGTTGACCCCTCGTACCGTTACCTGAATTGCGTCGCCAATTTCGCGAGTTATAGCAAACGGCCAAGCCCAATCGCTTATAAAGACCACATATTTGACAATTTGTGCGTGCATTGAACTCCGACCGCATTCCTTGTCGCACCGCTGCCGTTTATACTGGATTCACATGCTACGTTACGTTGCGAAAACTTTTAGGTAAAAGTGGCCCTGAGAAAGTCACCCAGTTCACACGGGACATTACGACGACGTTGTATTCGTTGGCGCGAGCTGTGTAAAACCATCTCCATTTTATGTTTTTCAATGGCCAAAACTTCAGAACATCCCCTTAGAATTGCAATATATATTTGAAGGGTGATTGGCAGCCCTGCCTACTGCAATGGCACTGCATCCCGCGCGAGCCGCGGTGGCGTTTGCCCTAGCGGTCGCGCTGGATGAAATTTTTGATAATCTTGAAGATATGTTCAATGCTCAGTGGCAGAGATTGAGCGTGTGGGCCGACGCGGCGCGGCCCATGCCGCCGGAAGTGCGGCCGACTTGCCATTTCGCGGATGGCTTCAGCCCTGATACTACAATGGGTTACATATTGGCTATGTAAGCGGTCGTGCGCGGGCGAGCAACAGGAGCGGCGTTGTCCTTGTTCATTTTCCAAAATAAACTGCAGCGGTGTGACTAGAAATTCAGTCGGAGTGCAAAGCGCGCACAATTTGTCAAGTATGTGGTCTTTATAAGCGATTGGGCTTGGCCGTTTGTTATAACTCGCGAAATTGGCGACGCATTTCAAGTAACGGTACGAGGGGTCAGCGTTTGACGAAATTGACCCCCCCCCCCCTGGTCACTTTAGACTTTTCGTCCACTTTACCGGTAACGTACCGTTACCACGTCCGAACCGACCACTTTTTCCAAAAAGTTTCAACGTAACGTAGCATGTGAACTGGCTATTATCTTAGAAAATGAACAAGGACAACGCCGCTCGTGTTGCTAGCCCGCTAGCAACCACAAATATTACAAACAGGCAACCAATTAATTGACCGATCGCATCTATAGTAGGGCTACCTTTCGTCATGAACATTCTAGGTCACGTGCCGAAATTAAAATAAGACGCTGCGTACTCATAGCTTATTTGCAACTGGCATATGACAGATGCTCGGCCTTGGCCACAGATTCCTGCTATCCAACGGCGATAGCAAGGGCGAGAAAGAGCATAAGTTCAATGTAATATACCTTCTTGTATCAATTCTACTAGTGGTAATTTCTGGATTATGTTCTGGTCTTACTCTTGGTGAGTCCTCTGGGGAGACGCTGAATACTGCACGCTGCATTCGAGTAACCACCTTTCGTCTGCGATCCCCAGGTCTTTTATCGCTCGACGTTGTGGTAAGATGGATGGACTACAAGCTTTTGATTGGGCGGAGGTGGTTGCGCACAAAGCTCCAGACGACTAATCCGTAGCATCCATCTCAAGCACCCGCCAATTCTGCCCCACCACAGGCCCAGCTTTGCAGCTTTCTTGCCCAACCCATCTTGGGTCACGTTTTGATCTGTCTCAAATTCGGGGAGTCCTCTTCCCCTGAATCATCTCCAACCCGCGTGCACCGTTCCCCCTCCCCTCTTGCCTCCGGGGGGAATTGTCCAATGACCATGGGGTTCGATGGGATATCTTTTAAAACACGCACGTGCATGCATGTCAGGAGTTGGAGGTGCTGAAGCGGAGCGGCAGGCCCCGGGAGCAGGTATACGCGGCGCGCATTATGCCGGTCATTCGGAACGCACACTATTTGCTGGTTACGTTGCTGCTCTGCAATGCTGCGTCGATGGAGGTAAGGCGTGGAAGGCTGCAAGCAGGAGCAGTGAGGTAAATCAACGAACTGTTGAAACAGCATTGACCGAGAAAGAGTTACTTCTTCTTCAGCAGCAGTAGCAATTAGCAACACGAGTTTTTCCTAGCAGCAGCAGTAGCAACAGTTGCGAGGTTAGAGGGCTGTTTTTAGGAATGAGGGCCGAGCGTATTTATGTATGTATGTACGTAATATTTATTCGTGTTTCTGTTTGACCAACGCGTTGGGCGGATGGATGAATGAATGAACGGGCGTAGGCCTGGCTGAAGGGATGGTGGAATGTGTTATGCTTACCATGTGTTGTGTTTTCCTTTTATTTACCGATGTAGTTTTCTATTTTAATAGGTGCTGCATCCGTTTTGTCGTACATTTCGCCGCACACCTGTACGACACACGGTTTAGCACCACAAAATATTACAGCAGCCACAGACGCTTGAATACACACACGCAACCCACCTAGAATCCCTTCGAACCCCGAAACACACACACCCATATCGCCCCAGGCGTTGCCAATTTTTTTGGACAAGATAATGGATCCCGTTACTGCCATCATCATCTCCGTCACTGCGGTGCTCTTTTTCGGGGAAATAATCCCACAGGCCGTCTGCTCCAGGTACGGCATGGTACGGCACATATCATACGGCATTGTAAGACTGTTTCCCGTATGTGCGGCCTGTCTCACTTTCCGCTCGCTGCTTCCCACTGTGTCATGGGGGATTCTGTCGCCTGTATTTGCTTCCTGTGCCGGCTATCAACTTTAACCTGTTTCCTAGTCTAACTCAACTAAATGTGTGCATGTGTGCACATATCGATAGGTAGATAGATAGATAGATAGATAGATAGGTAGGTAGATGGGTAGATAGATAGGTAGATAGATGGGTAGATAGATAGGTAGATAGATAGGTAGGTAGATAGATAGGTAGATAGATAGGTAGATAAATAGATAGATAGGTAGATAGGTAGGTAGGTAGGTAGGTAGGTAGGTAGGTTTGGGGACTGGGGCCCTGGAGGCGGGCTGTGGCGCTTGAAGGGGCGGGTGGAGTAACGAGTGGAACAGAAGTAGAGTAAGAGCCCAGTAAGACCTCCAGTCGCATAAATATATTTACATTTGGACATATACAGTTGGACATATGTTCATATACATATTAATTATTATGTACATTTATCCATTGAGTCCATTGAAAATCGCACACGCACCAAACGCCCCCGCAGGTTCGGTCTGGCAGTGGGGGCTAACCTGACTTGGCTGGTGCGTGCGATGATGGTGCTCGCCTTCCCGTTGGCCTACCCAATAGGTGCGGGTTGACGGTGACGGGACCACTAACGGGGGAGGGGATGACGTAGGTTGGCGATGTGTTGATGAATGATGCCACACGGGATGAAGCTTTAAAGGGAGTCAGCTCACACCGCTCACACCGAGCCAGCAGCTCCGAAGTACAACGGCGGCGGTGACGATGACACTCTAATATGCACTCAGGCGCCAGACAGCCCTAAGCACCATCGCCATCCGCCACCGCCTTCATCACGGCCCACATCGCGCACGCGATCACATCACTAAAGCACTCACGCACTCCTGAGTCATTCAAGCGGCCCCAGACCTTGCAAGTAAGCCCCTACCCCCTAGCCCCTTCCCCCCTACCCCCTAGCCCCTAGCCCCCTAGCCCCCTACCCCTAGCCCCCTACCACGGACGCCTTTCGGTCAGTTTTTACGTTTGCTACTATCTTGCCCTGGCAGCAGCTTCAATCGCGTGTGGTTCGTCTTTCCCCCTACCCCCTAGCCCCCTAGCCCCTTCCCCCCTAGCCCCTACCCCTTCCCCCCTACCCCCTAGCCCCTACCACCTACATAGGTTGTATAATAATGAGACCCTCGTGACTTGAGCATTCTGTTGGTTCGTGACCTGAGGCGAGGATGATAATGGGGACGTAATGAAGCCCCCGCGGGGCCATGAACCCGAGGGAAGCTCCAGAGGGGGGTAGAGGGGGGGGGTAGCAATGTTTTTAAGAAATTGTGTGTAGTAGCTGCCGTATAGTATGGCATATACATCGTCTATGAATACGCGCTAAGGCGCTCTGTCAACATCTTAGAGAGGCGTTTCCAGCGGCCAGCTACAACACCTTGTGTGCGTATGTATGTGTGTGTGCTACACCACCTCCTGGAGTCACCGCGTTACCACCTCCGAAGGTGTAACCTAGGGGGGGGCCATACACACACCTGGAGCCCGGATGAGGGAACCCAATGGACAGGGGCCCGTAGACTGTCCGATACATACAGATGTACATACCGATAAAACGCACAAGGAAAGTTAATACATATTATCACTAAATAATAATGCCAAACTAACAAACTATCTTGACAGTGCGTCTGCTACTGGAGACCCCCCTCCCTGTTTAGCCACAGATACTTGGGATAAGGGGTTTGCCAACTTACGCTGGTCATCCGCTACCTCCATATCCTTCATAGCCTGTTCCACCTGAAACCCGACAAAAAGCCCGCGCATGGGCTGGCTGCATGCATGCATGCCGGGCAGCACAAAAGCACAGAATATTTGCTCCATGGCTGTCGTCCACGGCTTGGAGTTCGCAAAACTTGCAGATCCTACCTTTGTGGATAAAATGTCGATTTATGGTCCTCTCTTGCTTGAAGAGTTGGAATAGTAGACATCGTGGGGTGCTTATTACACCCCCGGAGTTGGGGGTTTGTGTGCGTGTGTGTGGGGGGGGTTGGGGATGGGGAATCGCAGCGGCGGTTGCCTGCACAAGACCCAACAAGATGTCCTCACTGCCAGAATGGTTGAACATCAACTTCCGCCAACATGTTGAATATTTAGCGCGATTCGCATACTGTTGAGCACTGCATACAATGCACATCTTGCCGCCGCCGCCGGGCCCATGGCTCCTCCCTCCGTGCCCCTACCTACCCTCTCGTTTGCACGCAGGCAAGCTGTTGGATTTCCTATTAGGCTCCGAGCACCACACGTTGTTCAGGAGGACACAACTTAAGGTGTGTGTGGGGGGAAAGGAGGGTTTTGTTCGTATCCCCGTTTGCGGATTTGCGGTCCAAAGGCGAACGAGGGGGGGATGGGAAGCGGGTGGGGGCTGCGGGGTTTCCGGGGGGGTTATGTGCTACTGCCGCTTTAGTGTGGCTACTGCCGCTTTAGTGTGGCTACTGCCGCTTTAGCAGAATATTCTCACCCTGCTGTGATTATCGTGCTGCCACTGCCATGCTTACCTGCACGGTGTTTTTTTCTCCCTCGCCCTCACCGTCACTCTTCATCAGATGCCTTCATAACCCCCCCCCACACACACAGATGCGACCCCTCAGCTTCGTTCATTTCTCCGTTACAGGTTCATTGTACACAAACACACAGCGGCTGTTTTTTATAACACGCAGCGGGAGTGTTAGCTGTCCCAAATGTGTATGTCTTTATGTATGTGTATTTATCGTATTTACCGTATTTGTCGTATTTACCTGCACAGGCCCTGGTGGACCTGCACGGCGCTGAGACTGGACTTGGCGGGAAGCTGTCCAAGGACGAAATCAACGTCATCACAGGTACGAGAAAGAATCCAATGTGGCCGATACATACATACGTACATACATACGTACGTACGTGTAGTTAGCAAGCGGACGACGCTGGGGAGGGCGTCTCAGCATGGCGACTTCCGTTCCGCTGCCGCCGGCCCCATGCCGGACATCCCCACTTCAAGACGACGCGCGTGGTTACACCACTTGTACCTCTACTCCGTAGTCCCCCCACCCTCTTGCATCGCTTCCAACCCCTTACCCCCTCCCCCTCATCCCCCGCCACTCTCTCCCCCACTCAAAGGTGCTTTGGACCTCACACACAAGATTGCCTTTCGCTCCATGACCCCGCTGGACAAGGTAGGGCCGGTGGGGTGGGTGGGTGGGTGGGTAGGTGGGTAGGTGGTTCGGGAGGGGATGTGAGTTGGGTGCGAGGCGGGGGTTAGGGGGGTTAAGGGTAAGGAAGGGCCGCAGGCACACACACGAATATGTATATACATATATACATATATACATATATACATATATACATATATACGTACATATACACACATGTATACACATATATACACATATATACACATATATACACATATATACACATATATACACATATATACATATATACACATATACAAAGGCGGCGTCCCTAGGGGACCTCCCCGCCTCGCTCCCCTGTTCCCTCTCCACGACCCTCCGTGGCTACTGGCCAAGTCACTACTGGCTGGTGACTGACTCCTTACGATATACTCCTGATGCAGTGCCCATCCGTCTCGTCCTAGTACCTTCTGATTCACACGTCGACCCGCTGCGTCTGTGGTCGGGTCGTCAAGGGGCAGAGCGACGGCGTGTGGCTGGAGAAGAAGGACAAGCATCCCCTGGCACTGGGTGTGCGCACGCTCACGCAAGACCTTTACGACCAGCACACGTTCCCCTTTGAGGCGGCACTGGAGAAGTGGAAGCCCGCCAGCAGCAGGGGCGGGTACACAATGAACTGCTAACTAGCGTGCAGCATCAACAGCAGGGGCTGCAACCAACTCTCGATATCCCCCCCCCGATATCCCCCCGGGCCCCCAGGTGTTTATGTTGAGTTTGGACGAGACTCTTAATGACGCGGTGGTGGAGGCGGTGCTGGAGAGCGGCCACAGTCGTATTCCCGTACACCGGGGTACGGACCGTCACGACATAGTGGGGCTGGTGCTGGTGAAGGAGCTGCTGAGTCATGTACGGAAGGGAGGTCAGGTAAGGAGGGTTTGGAGGGGGGAAGGGTGGGGGGATGACGAACCACGAGCGAGTGAAGCTGCTGCCAAGGAAAGACTGATGCGCAGGAAGTAACGAAGGGTGGGGGGATGGGGGCGGGCGTATCGGTCATGGTGTGAAAAGACTTCAGGGTGATGGGCTGATAACGGATAGAGGCCGAAGTAAACGGGCAGGCAGACCAACCTCAAATAATACAATCAAAATTACTAATTCCAACGCATTTGTCTGTCTGTCTGTCTGTTTGTAAACACTGCGTGCCACAGGACGTACCCGTGTCATCGCTCAAAATGCGTACGATACCCAGGTACGGCAATACGAATTCTTCGTTATGGCACGCAGATTTAAAGATGCAAATGCACAACAGAGTAGATCCCTAGGGTTTGAGAAGCGCGGGGAAGAGGTGGCTAGGTAGGTAGGTAGGTAGGTAGGTATGGGGAGCTTAGAGCTCCCACATCCTCAGCAGCGCAGCACACATCCGCAAGGGGCACAAGATCTCGGGGTTGATGGAGTCGTTAGCTCGCGGTCCCGCCGTCGCCACTTTATTTCGCGGTCTTCTTCGCGGTCTTCTTTCCTTTCGGTATTTTTTTGCTTTGCTTTGAAATGATGTTTTTTGCTGTACCCTAGTACCTTTCTGGTCGACCTGCATATGGTATGACTCCTGACTTTTTTATGTTATTCATGTCTTCGTGTTTGCTTTTTGCTTTTTGGCGTACTGTGTGTCGATGCGTCTTTTCGATGTACGGGCGCTTCCCTGCGAATATACAACAATACCCATATCAGGGTGAGCGCCGCTACGGCGATGTACGACATGCTCAAGCTTTTTGCCATCGGTCGTACACATATGGTCGTGCTAGTCCAACCAGACGAGGAACAGCTGGAGGAGATTCTTGACGAGGTTGCGCCCGACAGGTCCGATACATGATATACCATTTAAGCGCGAGATATGACCTGTACGACAATCACGACAGTCTTAAACAGTTCCTTACCTTCTACCATGCTTCATTCCTATCGTTGAATTTACTGAACCCCCCATCTCGCCCCGCATTCGCTGCTCTCACCGCGCATCTCCCAATTCTACTTCCTCTTTGAAGGAGCTCTTCAAGTAGCAGCAGCAGTAGCAGCAGCAGTAGCAGTAGCACCTCCAGCGGTCGGCTCAGTACGCCGCCGAGTGTAGATGAGCGGCAGCGTCTGGTGCCATTGCATGTGGAGATGTCGGACGCGGCGGTGGTCTTGGCGGCGGCGGGGAGTACGGCCGTGAGGAGTGAGGCAGCGGCGGTGGCAACGTTACCGATAGATGATGAGGGGGAGTCATCCATTGAGCTCGGACTGGGGAAGGTGAGAGGGTGGGAGAGAGGAAGGAAAGGGAGAGGGTGGAGGAGAGGGTGGGGGGGGAGAGGGAGAAGGAGGAGAGGGAGATGGGGGAAGAGACTGTGGGTTTCACGCACGGGTGGACAAGGGTTGCAGTTGGCGGCATGTCTGGGTGTGCTCGTGTTTTGGGTGGGAGGATTTCTCTACGGTTGGGTCCCTCTTCCTCCTCCTCCAGAGAGTTCCTTCACTCCGTTCCCTCACTCGTCCCCTCACCCGTCCCCTCACCCGTCCCCTCACTCAGGTCGCGGTCGCCACGGACGCCTTTCGGTCAGTTCTACGTTTCATACACTCCTGCCCTGGCAGCAGCTTCTATCGTGTGTGGTTCGTCTTTCCCCTCACTCCGTCCGCTCACCCGTCCGCTCACCCGTCCCCCCACCCGTCCCCTCACCCGTCCCCTCACCCGTCCGCTCACCCGTCCGCTCACCCGTCCCCTCACCCGTCCCCTCACCCGTCCCCCCACCCGTCCCCTCACCCGTCCCTTTATACTTAATTTCAATCGTACACCCTCTTCTTGGAGTGCAGCTCCCGGTTGCTCGCATCAGCTGCTACACAGACAGCCCCGCACTGGCGGAAGCGGAAGCGGCAGCGGCAGGGGCCCCTGGAGCTAACCCGGACGGCACCGTGTCGCCTTGGCCTGGCGGCGGCGGCAGCAACGGCGGCGGCGGCAGCAGCAGCCTCATCCGCCCCAGCACGTTCAGCCTCAAAACGGTTAAATCCTTTGTTTTGGGCACTCATCACCACCACGGGAATAAGGATCGAGGTGGGAGTGGTGGTGGTGGTGGTAATGGTGGTGGTAGTGGTGGTGGTGGTGGTGATGGTGGTGGTAGTGGTGGTGGTGGTGGTGATGGCGGTAATGGGGGAGCTGCAGGCGAGTACAGCAACCACCACCACAGCCATCACGGCGAACAGCATCACGGACACGAAAAGAAAGATCGCGCTGGGGGTCGAACTCGCGACCGCGAGAATAAGGAAAGGGAGAAGCAGAGAGAAAGAGACAACAATCGTGACGGCAGCAGCCACGGACGTGGCAGTAACAACCGACGTGGCAGACGCCGCAGCCGCAGCCGACGCAGCAGCGATAGTAGCAGCAGTAGCAGCCGTAGTAGCAGCAGTAGCTCTTCTTCGAGCAGCAGTAGCAGCAGTAGCGACGACCCCCATTCGCACATGCGGACGGGCTCGTCGACATGGTCGGACAACGCGCCCTTGATCGAGGCCATTGAGGCGCTGGAAGATCAATTGGAGGTGAGAGTTATGATTTTGGCGGGAGCTGCTGAGGGATGAAATTAGAGATAATTGCGATGATAATTGCGGTTCACGGTGGTAATTGTCTCAACCTCTGCCCACTGCTGCGATAAATGCGGCGAACGATGTGAATGTGCTTCCCGTGCGCTCTTATTTTATTCCAGACTATATTTCTTACTGTATTTTTTATATTGTTGCCTAAACAGGACCATGGGGTGTTGCCGGGACAGCCCATTGGCATCATCACTATTGAGGACGTCATCGAGGAGCTCTTGCGTTTCGAGATCATGGACGAAACGGACCAGTAAGCGGTTCATTTGCGGTCTGTCAGTTGGGCCGTTGGGTGGTTGGTAGCCCCGCGCTGGAGAGGTTGACGGCTAGCTTCACCTCTCCACCTCTCCAACCGGCCTCGCAACCCTCCGGCCTTACAACGTCACCTTCTCGCCCTCCTTCTCCCCCTCTACGTCTCGTCTTACCCCTCCTTCTCCTTCTCCTCCTGCTGCTGCTCATGCTTGTCCTCGCCCAGGTACCTGGACAATGAGAAGTCCAAGCCGGCCATGGACGCCCGACAGGAGATGAGCATGGCGCTGCCGGAGAGGCTGCAGGTGAATGAGTGCGTGAGTTGTCTGAAGTGGTTTGAAATGGTTTGAAGTGGTTTGTTGAAATGGTTTGAAATGGTTTGAAGTGGTTTGAAGAGGATGTGCAGGATCCGGATCCGTTTTTGGTTCGCTGGCTGGCTGGCTGACATGCGCGGACTCTATAGCAAAGAGGCTCGTTTGCTAACCTCAAGCTGAGGCACACACATTTAAGATACACAGACACACACATACCGATTAACCATCAACCAGCTAACAGCCACCTGACTTCCCGCCTGTGACTCTCTACTACCTTTTCGCAGGTGGTATTGGGCCTCTTCAGCGGCCGCGACGGCTCCAACCACCACCTGACGAGGATCAGCAGCAGCATGCGCCTCAGGAACAGCGCAAAAGAGCTGCCTGCTGCACCGCCACCACCACCACCATCACAACAACAACAACAACAACAACAGCAAACACAGCAACAGTCCTTGTCGCAGCCAGGAACAGCGACAGCAGCAGCAGTAGCAGCAGCGGGATCGCCTGTGGCAGGCACTGCTACTCGACAAGCTCCAGGGGCGGCTGCTGGACCTCAGGGACATGTCGCTGGCGGCGGCAGCGGCGGAGCCGCAGCAGTGGCGGCGGTGGCGACGGGCGCCAGCGGGCTCGCCCATTCCTCCAGTGTTCACTCACTCGGTAATGTAAGCCTGGTTTCGGGGCCGGCGGCGGCGGCGGCAATAGGCCCATCCGTGTCCGCGTTAGCTGGAGGAGGAGGTGGTGGCGGTGGTGGCGGCGGTGGGGGAATTGGCAGCGGCGCCGCCGCTTTCCGCCGGCCGGCGTTCCTGCAAGCGATCCTTGGTGCAGCGGCGGTGCCGCCGCAGGCGATAACAGCGCCGCTCGGTAGCACCCCCGCCGCCACTGCGAACACCGCCGCTGCCGCGACGGGCGGCAACGTCGCCTCCGTTACCTCAGCTCCGCTGACGCGCCATAGGCGGACAGCGTCAGGTAACTTCTTGTCGAGCATGTCCAATGCGACGGTCGCCGTAAGCGGCGACGGCGGCGGCGGCGGGGCTGGGAGGGCTTCTGTAGCGGCCGTAAGTAGCGCTGTTGGCGGAGGCGGAGGCGGCGGAGGTGGAGGTGGCCTGACGCTTAGCGGAGTGGGTCAGTGGCTTTTTGGCGGAGGCGGAGGCGGAGGAGCGGGTGGAGAACTCAGCGGCGGCGCAGCTGTTAATGTGCCGCATGTCACGCGTCCCGGGTACAGCAGCCTGCCACCTGCCTTGCCGATACACATTGGCGGTGGCGGCACGGCGGCAGGCCGCACAGCAGGCGGCCGATCCGCCACCGCTGCCGCCGCCTCGTCGTTGCCGGCGCCGTCGCGTCTGGTAGTCGGTCACCTGGCGGGCAACACCAGTCAGCTGGGAGCCATCGCAGCGGGCTTGCCGCGCGGAGGACGTCCAGGAGGTGGCGGCGGCACCGCCACCGTGAGAGCATCCCTGGAGCGCGACGGCGCCACCCTGCCGCTACTAAGTCTTGGCCTAGGTCACGGCCTTGGTCGAGGGACGGCGTCCAGTAGCAAAGGCAACGGCGCCGGCGGGGCTGTAGCACGACCAGGAGAGTACGAGCTTGCTCGTACGAACTCCATGTAAGACGATGTATGCGATGTGTAGCCCTTTGTGTCTGTGCGCTTGCTTTACGTTGCCTTTTCTGTCCAGGCAGGTATGCAGGTAGGTGTGCAGATGGGGCGGGGTAGGTAGTGGGGTGACGAGGGGGTTGAGGGAAGCCGAAACTGGTGGAGACTCCAGGGAGGCAGAAAAGATCTCTTTTCACGTCCGAAGCCAGGGCATTGGAGGTTTGTGTTTTCAAGGGTTCCTCGCGGGGCGCTCGGAAGGAGTTTTCTTCTTCGTCCTTTTCGTGTGGACAGAGCGAAAGATGGGCTTGGGGAGGGAGAGTGTGGAGCCGCTGGGGGTGTCAAGCCGAGAGCAGGTGGGCTCCGCTGTCCTCCGCTATACCGTCGGGCTCGTCCAATGCCACCCCGATCACATGTGTAATATGTTATCGGGTGTGTGTGACGTGGCAGGGAATGATGGCAGGGAATGATGGCTTGTGATGGCTTGAAGGCAGCTTAGAGGGCCGGCGGCTTCTAACGGCCGTCCACTGGACGTCCACAGACAGACTGATTGATCGAGTGGTATGGCTTCTGAGTTTAGGCCGTGGAGGTTGTTGGAGGTGTTGGTGTTGAAGGTGTTCATGTTGATGGTGATGATGATGGCCACGGGGAAGATGGTTTCTTCTGTTTGAGACGGTAGCAGTGGCAATTAAACAGGTGTCCTACTACCGTTCAGTAGTATAATTGCCAAGCATTTTTTTTGTCTTTTGCTATTCCTGTCCATGCAGTTGCTTCTTATTTCTGTTGTCATCTTAAGTATCATTTGTACAGTTGTGTGTCTTTGTTCGGGGGGAGGAGGCAGCATGTGTGGACATTCATACGATGACGCCCGAAGAGGAATAGAAATGGGAGGAAGTCACTTGCGTCGTAATTTATTAGAGCATGCCATCGTGTGTACGAGCGGATGGTTGGTGTTCATGCTGACAGTGCAGGTCGGGTACAACATGAAGTACGGCACGTCGTCGTATGGTCATGTCCGTAATCAGTAGCACTGAAACTCACATGGATTAATTCCGATCGGATACCAAGGGAACAAGAGCTCTCATGGTTTTTGGTTGGGCTCTAGTTTTACTGCTGGTGGTAGTGCTGGTGATGATGGTGGTGGTGTTACTCCTGCGGCGGCTATAGTTCTGCTACTGCTGCTGCTGTCCATGGCTAGGACTAGGTGTGGTGTGTGGCTTGGGTGTGGCGTCGCATGGCTGTGCGAGGAGCAGTGGGGGGGACCCTACGGTTCTCGGGTGGCGGGCCACAGGACTCGGTGGTTTCCTCCTCCTCCAGGGCGCCGTGTGTTGTGTCTTCAGCGGACATACCTTCGGTTGGCACACAACAAGGGTAACCGCTTTAGGTATGAGAGCAGGCACCGATGTCCGGTCACCCTATTTATCTGTGGTTCAGTGTGAAACGAATTTTTACTTTTCATTACTCCACATCTGCATTACAACCACTGCTGCCGACCTGGCGGCTTGAACGAGCCGCCCGTCATTACACCTCGCACCAGGGGTAGCAGCAGCAGGCAGGAAGGAAGGCAAGAAGGAGGACGAGAGGGAAGTCAGAAAATGTGTGTGCCACATGCACACACACACACACACACGCATAAACACGCAGCTCTGCTAATACGCAGTGTCACCCGTGTCGTGATGGACATTGCGTTAACACGCGCTTCCCGGGCGCGGCCCCCCAGCTGGGCTGAGGTGGGGCGGGGGGGTATCCCCTAATATAAGAAGCGGAAAGGGTGCCAACAGCCAATGACTGCAGAAGGGTTTTGGGGCCCCAGAGCTCCCAGCTCCCATATTCAGCTGCCGCGTCAGGGACCCTGACTCAGGGTACAGCCCCCCTCAGCAGCAGTAGCAGCAGTAGCACAGGAAATGTAGCAGTAGCCGCTTTTCTCGGTGATCAAGTGCTCTTTTCATGACCGACGCATCTCGCCCTGCGGATTAAGCGTCCGTACAGCTGCGCTCACCCTCAACACCATCAGGCAATGAGGCGCCACCGACACGAGCGTGTGCGGCATCGCTCCCTGGAGCAGAGAAGATAGGATAAAGGATAAGGAAAGGATTACAGGCAGGATAGAAACTCGCCATACTTGGCTGTTTCTTGCCAGAAGGAACAGGGCAGCAGTTCAATTCAAATCCAGCATCAGGCCGCATCTTAATCGAGTCATTTGCGCAAACTTTCGAGCAAAATGTTTTTACTCCGGTCTGTGAACTGTGCCTGATCGTCCTTTCATATTTACCGTACATTTTCGTACTCCCACATCATCCAACTGTCGTACTTCGTACTGTCATACCCTGTACCTGCAAATCTTGTGCGACGTCACATAGCCGACACAACCAATCGCGCGCTGCGCCCTCTGGGCTTGGCTCCGAAAGTAGAAAGCTCGGTTCCAAATCAAGCTGTAAATTCAAGGAATCGAGCTGCGTGAATCCCTGGGACAACAGCGCCGTCGAGGTACGAGCCCAACGCTCAGCGACGCGGCCATCCGGGGCGGTGCAGCTGATGCGCAGAGAATGGAGGTGGCGCGCGTGGCGGCACAGCAGCCGGAGCAGCGTCGTCAGCCACTGGCGGCGCTGCTGCCGCAGTACGCCGCCGTACGAACTGGTATCAGTACCGGCGAGTTTATCAGCCGCGTCCTCTTGGCTTTCCGATTCAGATCCGGATTCAGTTCTGGATTCGGAGTCGGTTGCGCTGTGTTCCGTGCGACGTTGAATTTCGGCACCCGGCACGCCGCCTGCGGGTACGACTCCGCCAGCGGCGGTGGCGGCGCTCGTGAGCCGCCAAGAGGGGAGGGCGATCACCGCCGTACTTGAAGGGCCCGGCGCCGCCGCCGCCGCCGCCGCCCTGTCCTCAACAACATCTCCAATACCGCAAAGTGGTTCGTCTGTATCACGTCGCGGTGGCGGCAGCAGAGTCGCTGATGCGGTACCGCGGCTATCGCCAGCGGGGGCCTCTGCCACCGCCGGCGCCGCCGCCGCGACGGCGGTAGCCGCTGCCGCAGCGCGGCCGCCGCTGGCTCCAAGTGACGTTAGCACAGGACTGTACGGTGACGGCATCGGCGCAAGGTCCAGCTGACGTAGTCCCGGGAGGCATGTTACGATGGCGCGGAGCCCGGCTGTTGAATACCAGTCCAGGCAATGGGCTGCAAGTGAACACGGCATGACGTCATCATGGCATTTCAAAGCCCCGAGAGATCCCTTTCACCATTAACACCACGGCGGGCGGGCGGAGCGCCGAAGAGGGTTGAATCACAGTAACTCGCCAACCGGCCAACGGCTTCCAACGGTATATGCAACCCCCATCACAACTTACTATACCGCACGAAGGATACATTCGTACCTACCTTCATTTGGCAGCTGGACATCCTTTGACGTCATCGTGGAGCCGTGCACGCGCAGCGTCTGTACGGCATGCCACGTGCGCAACAACGCCACAAGGTCGCGTTCCTGGGATGACGGTGGCAGTTCCTTGACGACGGCTGCCGCCGCCGCCGCCGCCGCTGATGAGGATTCCGTACCGACGGACCAACTCACACCGCTGTCCTTGAGGCTCAAGACACGAAGGCACTGCCCACAGCCGAGGAGGCTCGTTCCGGCGATGTACGACGATGACAGCGAAAGCTCTCGGAGCCGACTCAGGCGCGACATGCTCCCCGCCGGATGCAGCGATGACGACGCCGCCGCCGCCGCCGCCGCCGCCGCCGCGGAAGCTGCTGCTGCTGCTGCTGCGCCGTCGCTCACGTCGCTCACGAAACCAGAAGCTACCGTCGCCACTCCAGGTGCGGTCATAGCTGGCGGTACAAGTACTACGCCGTACAGTGACAGTGACGTCAGGCTGGCGGACAGGGCTGTGTGAGGTACGACAGCGGGTCGGCCAAGCGGGTTGCTAAAGTGCAGCGCCAACCGTTGTAGAGCTGTAAGGGACCCCAGCGGTGCCAGTCGCGGCGGCAAGCTCGTCGACAGCGACGGCGACGGTGACGGCGACGGCGGCTGCGGCGGCAATCCCCCGTCCAGCCCACCGCAGCTGGGTGTACCAGGCCCCGGTGCCGCGACCTCCACCAAGCTGTGCCCCGCCGTCGCCGGGCCGGTGAACGCCGCACCTGACGCCGCCGACCCACCCGCCGCCGTCGCCGCGTAGGAGCTGTACGACATTTGACCAACATCGTCTCTGACGCCGCCCAGAGGCAGCGTGTACGCGGCGTAGAGGTGAAGCTTATTAAGGCCCGCGAGGCGCGACAGCAGCTCCGCTGTGTCGTCGCCGATGCCTAAAAAGGATTTACGTCGATTTGCTGACGGGGGCTGCCGCCGCCCTAGCGCCAGAGATCGCAGCCTCGTGAGTGATGTCAGCAGCGCGGCATGGGCAGCGACATCTTGTACGGGCAGCTTTACGGCAGCGCCAGAAGCCGCGACGGAACCCGGGGTTATCAATGGCGGCGGCGGCGGCTCATGAAGTCTCGTCCAAATGTCGCCGATCCGAACCCAGCGCCGCCGCCGCCGCCGCCGCCGACGACGACGAGGCCATGCAGCCGCGTCGCCTCCGCCGTTTCCTGTCCCTGTCCTCGCTGCTGTCGATGCGTGCGCTTCCAACCTCGAGCATGGTTGCCCGTCGTGGTCCTCGTCGCCCCAATCCGTCTCCACGTCCTCCTCTTCCTCCTCCCCGTCCTCCTCCTCCTCCTCCTCCTTCTCCTCCTCCTTCTCCTCCTCCCCCTCCTCCTCCTTCTCCTCCTCCCCCTCCTCCTCCTTCTCCTCCTCCCCCTCCTCCCCCTCCTCCTCCTCCCCCTCCTCCTCCTCCCCCTCCTCCTCCTCCCCCTCCTCCTCCCACCCGCCCTCCGCTCCACACTGCCCAGGATCAAGCCACAGGCCCCTCAGGGCGGATAGCTGATTCAACGCCTCCAAAGTTAAGGTCACAGCCGGCGCGGCAACGGGGCCGACTTCGGCATCGCCATCGCCATCGTCGCCGCCGTCACCGCCACCGGCATTCCCGGCAACTGCAGGAGGGGCTAATGACCCATGGTTCCGCATCTGCTGCTGCTGCTGCTGCTGCGACCCCTCGTACCTGTCCGATGGTTCGCGCAGCCCTGCTGAGCACCAGCCTGGGAAGACATGTCCCATGCCGTTCCGTGCCGTACTGCTAGCGCCAGCGACGCGCAGGTCTCCGCTGGCTGCAGCCGTTGGAGTAGCTGCCGTCGCAGTGGCATCAGCGTTGGTCGCTGACGTCGCCGCGGCGACGATCCCCAGCTTCCGACGCCAAGGCGGCGGCGGTGGCGGCGCCGGCCCTGACACCAGCTCCAACTGAACGTACTGCAAGTGGCTCCACGAAGGCTTCGAGATTTCCGAAAGGACTTGCCCGTACGGCAGTAGCTGCACGGTCCGCTTATCGGACATGAGCAACTGTAGCCCCGGCGCTGCTGCCAAGCTCCGCGCTACAAGCGCCTGGTCCGCCCGGGGCGGCGGAGGCGTCGCCGTCGTCGCCGCCGCCGCCGGGAAGCTCGGAGCGACTGCAGCTGTAAAACCTGCGTCCGTTGCCGTCGCGGTGGATGCTACAGCTGCGGCGGCGATTCGGGCTGCCTTTGCGCTGCTCACCCCGTGTTCAGACGGGGGAACTGTAGGCACGCTTGACGATGGCTGTAGCGGGGTTGGCGGCAGCCGCATTCCGCTACCGCCGCCACTGCTGCTGCAGCAGCAGCAGCAGTCACAACGGATACCGACCAGCGCTGCTGCACACAGCGAAGTACCGCCGCTACCGCCGCCAGCATAGATTTCATGCCGCGTCACCGCCGCCGCTGCCGACCTCCTGGCGCCCACGTCAGGCGCCCCATGTGGGTCGCGATAGCAGCCGCCGCTAACGCAGTAGCATGGCGGCGGGGCGCCAGTTGTCTGGCCGCCGCCGCTGCCGCCGCCCAGGAATCCCTTGCGCTCATCCAAGTACGACCACCTGTCGTACCGGATCTGCCACTGCTCGGCGTCCGGCTCGAACTCGTCTAGTTCCGACTCGTCCAGTACGGCGTCATTCTCCAGGTAGTGTAGGGAGACCGCCAGGCACTGCAATCTCCTGCCAATGCCAGCGCCCTCCGCTCCGGTGGCGGCGGCAGCGTCGGTGCTACTGCCAAGAACGGCGGCGGCCGCGGCGGCGGGGCGCTTTTCCAATGGCCGGCCGAAGCCCACGCTGCTGAGATCCACCAGCTCCGACGCGGCCTTCCACACAGCTCGCATGTAGGCTTTTTTGTCGTCGGTAAACACGCAGTGATAGCCATGGACCTGCAGAAGAGGAGAAACAAGGGGGCCGCCGTCGTGAGGCGCGCTGTGATATGCCGGTAGCGTCTTGGGCTTCTACTTATCGCCACCGCTATCGGCCCATCGGGCCCCGCCCCCCAGAGCGCATTTGGGCCCTTTAGAGCCCTGAAAGCAATGCTTTAAGAAAACAGACGGGGTGCGGAGTGGGGTTGTTGAGATGGGTATTTACCCACACAGGCCGCCCAGCTGTCAGCAGAGCAGTACGGCGCGACCATACTGCCTGCCGGTAATACGGCAACGGCAGACGTGGAGGCCAAACCATCGCGCACTGGGACCAGGGTAACGACTGCGGCGCGAACACTGCCGCCGCAAGGGTGGCGGGGTCCTTACGTGGATATGCTCCAAATGGACTGCGTGCAGAAGCAGCTGCGGCAGGGCTGCCAGGCTGGCCTGCGCGATGCACAGGTGGCGGAGCTGCGCCATGGCGCCCAGGGAGGCAGCTATCTGCTCCGTCAAATAGCAACGCACGAGCCGCAGGCGGCGCAGGCGACCGAGCTGGCTGCTGAGCGTGTCGATCACTATGGGGGGTAGGAGATACCGCTGCTGCATCACGAGCTGCAGATGCTGCTGGTGGTAGTGGGGATGTGCGGCCAGGAAGCGAAAGCAAGCTGCACAGGAGGCTGCACAGGACTCATCAAGCGCTTTCGATCCATGCAGAAAGGAGACGCGTACAGTTATGGAGGTTAAGGACGGGCCGATAGCGGCGGTGAGGTGATGCCACTCCAAAGGCATGTCGGCTGATAGCGGGATGGTGGGGAGGGCGAAGGAAATGCCACGTCGTGTAACGGCGGCTGCATGGGGCTGTACTCCAAAAAGACGTAAATCTAAAGACAATTCCCTCAAGGCATGCGTGAAGGGTCTCCTCCAGGACTGGCATACCAGGCGACAGGCTACCAGCGCCACGCGAGGAAGGAAAACTGCGACGTGCTGCTGAGCGAAGTATCCAGTTAGGCTTTCGAAGCAACCATAACATTGCGATTTTCACAAATCTTGGTGATATACCTCGTATAGACTGTCTGGCAAATTTTCCCAGCATGAAGCTGCCTCCTGACAGTCCGCCATCCTTTTCATCCACCGTCCTTCGCAAAGCAATTCCACATCTGACCCTGTCTGTTCTTTGATGCAAGAGATGACAAACCCTAGTCGTTTGGAAGAAGGTGTCGAAGAGTAGCAAGGGCTTCCATGCTATCCAGTTCAATACAATATGAACATTATCAGGAAGGGATACATCGTCTTTACAAAAAAAGGCTCGCAGATGCAATATCAGATGCGCCTCTGCCTCTCCGTACAATATCCGTGCGACTAACAACGTCGTCGAATCTTGTGCAACCAACTTCATGCGTGGGATTGAGTTGACAACTGAGGCGCCCAAGAGATTACATCGACCTGACCAGAACCAACTCGGGTCAAAGCTAGCTCAGCAAACAGTCTACTTCTTGGGGGCGGGAAGGGGCTTGGTCGCCGGGGCCTCCAGGTGCAGGCCCTGCGTGTCGGACACCAAGGAATTCGAAGCAGCGATTGGTCAAATAAGCAACTGGGTTAAACGCGTGTCAGCCGTGAACAAGTGGTCAGCTGTGAAATAGCACGACCCCGTAACACATAACCCTACTACGAAAACAGCTTCACCCAACCAATCCATCCCCCTCCCATGCCGGACCCATCTACATACCCTGGTCACACCAAACTTACCGCAGCCAGCCTCTCCTCGCGCCGCGTGGCCTTGCGCTCGCGCGCGGCCTTGTTCTTGGCGCGGCGTGCCTCGAACTGGTCGGCAATGGTCTTCTCACGCACCTTCTCCGCCTTCTGCTTGTGCACAGCCTCCATCAGCACGCGCTTGTTCTTGAAGACGTTACCCTTGACCTGAAAGGTGCATAGTAAACCCAAGCCTTACAAGGATAAATCCCATGTCCATAATGAACCGTATACACAGCCAGGCTCCCCGATACCGATAGATAGGTAATATCCTTAAAAATACTCGGATTACCCCCGGCCATCATTGAAGGACGCAGTCGCAATTTGAATGAAACTTGGTCCAACTCCGGAACTGCCACAACAGAGTAAACATCCCGCGAGCCAACAGTGTTAGTTGTGTTCCCTCCATAACCACTAAAACACCTCAAGCATGCCATGCTGACTACCCACATTTGCGAGGCCAGGACTACGCGAGGAGGATGAAAATGCATGAACTATCCATGGTATAGAAGCCCAAGCATTTCAGCGTTGTAACCCACTCCATTTCACGTCCCCCCTTTTGCTGGAAGGTCGATTGCAAGGCGTAGGAATGCAGGTTATGCGAAGATGGTGCTCCCTGTCATTCGCGCGGCCATTACCACCGTATACCAACGCCCCCCGGTCCCTACCTTCATGTAAAGGTCATGGTAAAGGTGCTTGTCGATCTTCTTCGAGTCGCGGTACTTCTTCAACAGGCGGCGCAGGACACGCAGGCGCCGAATCCACATCACCTTCTGGGGCAAGCGAGCCTCCCGGGTACCGCGGCGTTTACCTAGGCGGGGTTGCGCAGCGGCCCGACAAGGGTATTGATAAAACGGATGGAAACCCTATGTTTCGCACAGCTTGTGGGATGTCAGTAAAATCCGTGAACCCCGTGGACAGCCAGAAGGCGCCGACGTTGACGTCCTCTCCCAATCGCCTGGAGGACGTGAAGGCATAAGCGCTGACAGCGGGCTGAGGCGCATCCGTGAGCAAACCCAGGCTGAAGGTTATCGCCTCAATCTTCTGAATCTATCAGTCGGAGGATGTGACACGAAACACGGTGCCAAGCAAAAAGCAACAAGACTGTACACAGGCACCTTGAGCGATGTTCCTTCAAACTCCCCGCCTTTAGCATCGTATCGCTTGAAATTTTATGGAAACAAATACGGTCACAATATGAGCTCTTAGGCCCCATAATTTTTGGGTAGTGTCGAGCCCCTTCGCTGCACTTCAGATTGCCCCGGCCCCTGGCCAGGTCGCGCTCTCTGCAGGCCGCTCCTGAGCCGCCAAGTGCTGATTGCTGCTGCATCCAAAAAGCTCGTAAATGGACCCACCGTAGCCTGTGTGGCGGCCCTTGGCCTTGGCCTCCGCAGAGCGCCGGGCCCGGTCCCGCGAGTGGATGATGGGCTGCTTCCTGAAGACAAGGCCGTCCTTGATCAGCTTCCGCACATTCTGGCCTGCAGGGGCCATAGAAAATCGTGCGATAAAGCGTAAGGAACGTTTGGGCCTTGCTGGCTTCGTGAAGTTGCTCCGTAAGCTCCATACTTCTGATAATAACGTCTTTTCTAGTTGCAGGAAATGCGGACTCGAGGTAAGCTGCACGCTGTATAGTGAGACGCCTGGCAGATGCGCCGCCCTGACGCTGTGCCTTCTACAGAAAATACTTATCACGACTATCTAAATCACCTATACTCCAAACACTAAACCTACAAACTCACGGGAGTTGGCCATAGAAATCTCGTTAACCTCATTGGGGTCGAGCCAAACCTTGCGCAGACCGCAGTTCAGGACAGAAGCGGCAAGCCGCTTCTGCAGCTTAAGGGACACCATTTTTTGCCGCTGGTCACGTCCAACGGCTGGGAGCGAGGAAAGGGCTGGAACGAGGCAGTCGGAGGAGCAAAATGGGGAGGCGGCTTCCGTACTATCCGTACTCTGGTTGTGCCTCTAGCAACAGGACAGGCAAAAGGTGTAGTCCCGTAATATTGTAACGCCTTGCAATTTATTGTTTTTCGCGGCCATTTCGACCACCACAGCATTAGTTCCAACCTGACAACCAGTGGCATCGTTGAAAATTTGTCTTTGCATTCAAGGTCAAGCTTACGATAGTGACCAAGTAGTTTATACATTGAATACTCTGGCTTGGGGAATTGTCTCTACCAATAGCAGTACCTGCAAACGTTTCCCACTGAAGTCCTACAGGAACGTCGATGGCAGCTAGGCTGTTACGAGACCCGGACGCGGATGGGTGGGAGCGGTCGGATATGCCCATAGTCTGCGAGACTTGCCTCGGTCCCAACCCTTTCGTCAGAATGCAGCGGGTATGGTACCTCCTTTTCTTCCTGGTTTTTGACATCTCACTGCGTTATAATAAGCAAGCAGAATATCATCATTCGGGCCGTTCGGGGGTTTTGCGCCAAGCGACCCGTTTTCTCTGCCATGGCGCAGATCGAGTTTGGTGGAACCTGCCACATCTCCGGTCGGCCGTACACGGTTTTCCGCTGGCGTCCGGGCAACGACGCCAGGTGCGTTACGCAGCTGTGTCTGCAACACGACCGGTCCGAAAAGTCCAAAGCGCACCCCTCATCAATGCTCCGGGGTCTGCTCCTACACACCACCTGCAGGTACAAGAAGACGGTTATTTGCCAGGAAGTCGCCAAAGCAAAAAACGTCTGCCAGGTCTGCCTGCTGGACTTGGAGTATGGCCTGCCGGTTCAGGTCCGCGACACGGCGCTAGGCATTAAGCCGGACGACGAGCCGCAATCGGACGTCGGGAAGGAGTACAAGCTGCAGATGGCAGTGACGGAGGGCAGCAACGCATCATCCTTTACCACCACTCGGCCAAACGAAATGCTGCAGAAGCTACAGCGTACGGCACCGTACTACAAAGTGGGTAATGGGCACCAGGCCGTATCGCGTCTACAAGCCACAAGGCCATCTGGTCCATATACAAACTAGGAAGGTCCATATTCACACCGGTTCACCTGCGAAACCGGTGTGAGCTTCCAATACATGAAGCAGCTTCCAATATGTGGGTTATATGGCAGCGAGTTGGCAAAGGTCGAGTCGTGGTCGGCAATGGCCTCTTCACTTGCGCATACCCTCATCAACACCTGCCGCCGGCCCGCTGCAATCTGAATATGAAAAACGGGGGAAGGTGTTCAAAATCCTGCCGGGAGCTCCATTATCAGCCGCACACAGCACGACATGTTTGTTTATGTAATGTTTCTACTACTTCATGGGTAATAGAATTTAGAAAATCTTCATCTTCGTTTGGATCAAGAAGGCCAGGCATTACTAGATACCTTTCCCGAGCACTCTCCCGATGACTCCCGCGCTGTTCCCCCCCCCATCATAGCCATAGCCTGCACACGAGCATGCACACGATCTGGGGCATGCATCCGCGTTGTAACCGGGCTGAGGGCTGGGATGGGTTTTGACGGGCTAAGACGAGACCGCGAGCCCGGATGGGGATGCGGCATAATAAGATTTCTATATCTCCTCCCCAACTTTTAGCCTTTTCATTTTAACGTTTCAACCGTATGGTGATCTACTACTGCTGTGATGTTGCTTTGGTGCTAAAAGACGTGATGCATGCTGGGTTTTTTTTTGGTGCAAGTGGGCGGTGCAGCTGCTAGTTCGGGGTGCGAGCTGGTTTTTCCTCTCACGTTTTTACACACCAGGTTTGACAACCTGGTCAAGACCGCACTTGCACGCACGTAAGAGGTACGACTACGTGCGTGCTAATGAGCAGTCGCTCATGCTTCCAATGCGCCACCCCATCCCATCCCATCCAACTCGAACAAACCCTACCCACCACCCCGGCCTTTGTGACTACATACTATATAATGTGTGCGCAGCGCAATCAAGCGCGGGTTTGCACGTTCTTTGCGCGGGGCCAGTGCACTCGCGGTGCCGAGTGCCCCTACCGCCACGAGATGCCCATCACGGGGGAGCTAGCCAACCAGAACATGAAGGACCGCTACTACGGCGTCAACGACCCCGTGGCGAACAAGATGCTGCGTCGCGCTGATGAGATGGGCAAGTTGAACCCTCAGGAGGACACGTGAGTGGGCCGGGGTGTGGGGGGAAAGGGGAGACGATCCACGAAGGAGTGTGAGTGGGCCGGGGTGTGGGGGGGGCCCTTTCCATAAGGGGATGGTGGAGGGGGTCGAGCCGGTAGTCTTCCCACGCCTTGGAACACCCCAAAAGACATAGCCATGATTTTTTGTTTCTTCCCTCCCTCCTTTCCTACCTACCTACCTGCCTGCCTCCTGGGTACGCACCAGCACGAGGGGGCTTTGGGGGATATGAGTAAAATAATTTAGAGCCTTGTTTCGCCCGGCCGCCCCGGCCCTGTTTGCATTCTGTTTGATGGGCGCCGCAATCCCCCTCCCGCCCCGCAGGTCTACCACCACACTGGGTGGTCTGGACGCAAGCGCCAGCGAGGGCGACATTCTGGATGGTGATCTGGCGAGCGTACGGAAGGTGCGTTGTTGTACCGGCCTTGCGGGAGCTGGGAAGTGATGGGGACAGCGGGAAGGGTCTTTCTCCTCGCCGTACAAGTGTAGTACGCGAGACGTTTGGGAAGGGAGATGATGACGTGCGAGCGAGCGGTTAGGAGGCGGGTACCGTGCATGTGCATGTGGGGCTTTCACACCTTATCATCATCATCAGCAGCAAGGATCCGCTGGTCGATGCCGCGCAGGCGTCCACCAGCGGCCGCGGCGCCGCCGCGCCAGGACCCGTGCCCTCGCACGTCCTCACAGCGATGGGCGGTGCAGTGCCGGCGGCGCCGCCCTCGGGCCCAAACTTCTTCAACTTGCCGGGGCCCAATGCGGCGTCGTCGTACTACCCCAGCATGGATCCGCAGGCGATGGGCTCGCGGATAGCGTCCGGGGGGGTGCCTGGAGCGGCGGCAGCCGCGGCGGGTTCACAACAGCAGCCCGGGCTGCCCGGGGCCCCAGGCGGCCTAGCGAAGCGGCCGGGACAAGACGGAGGCGGAGCAGGTGGAGGTGAGGGGTCTGATGCCAAAAGACCCCGGGGCCCGCCGCCGCCCATGCCGCCGGGGCCGATGCCGCCGGGGCCAGGGCCATCGTACGGCGCACCGCCACCACTTTACGGAGCACCTCCGCCGCTATACGGCGCGCCGCCACCGCCTGGCTATCACCCCGGGCATCCCGGAATGGGACCGCCGCCGCCGTACGGCGTGCCGCCGCCAGGGATGTACGCTCCGCCGCCGCCACGACCCATGGTACCGGCCGCACGACCACCGCCGCCGGGAATGCAGTGAAGATATGGCTGGGTGTCCGTTGTTGTGTCGCTCGCGGTAGCGCGCGCGCTGCTCCACCACGACAGTCTGGAGCTATGCATTTTGTAAATTTGACACGAAGCAGGCAGTTGGGGGGATTCTGGTAGGGATTGGGGGATACCTTTGGAAGCCGCTGCTCCCGAACAGAGCTCCCATGTATTTGAGAAGAAAAGTCTAACTAAATAGCTAACTAACTTGCTTGTTGACTAATGGACGAGGTTTTTAAGGACGGAAAGCGGGTGGTGGAAAGGAAGCTAGTTGCGGACATGACCTGTGTGAATGAGCCTGACTCGGAACGGTGGCTCTCTTGTGAGCAGCAGTAAGGATGTTGGATTGGGACTTGAACTGAATTGAAGGGAGCTTGAAGGCGAGAGCTTGGCACTGGAAGGAGATGACGGTCGTCCGAGAGGGCTACCTCCGCTGTGAATCCAGGGTGGTTGTATACATCAGCAATTCCTGATATCCGCTTCGTCACGTATGGATTACTGTCCGTTGCCAGTAACTAAGTTGCACATGTATGTGGCAGCTCACTCCCAGCTCTTCCTTCTCCTCCCAGATCGCAGTCGTGAGTGCCGTGAGTACCATGTCTCTGTGACAGATGACAGACGCCACAGGTGGTGAAATCTGGACCTGGACCTATTACTGCGCTAGGGGGTAGATCAGGTATAGATATGTAGCTCTGCAGTCTATTGTCTGCCACGTGCCCGCCGCGGACGGAACGGATACGGATCTACGACAGCCAGAACCCATTTCGCGTTTCGTCTCTCACCCCACTGGGAGATCTCTGGTCTGGGTTTATGTCCCGTGGTTGCGATGTACGGATTTCGTACACGTAAGTGTAAGAAAGCTTGTCGTCACGGGCTGGAAGTGGATCTACTTGAGTCGTAACGCGGACCTGGACGGCAACCCAGCCACCAAAGATGACGAGGGAAACTTGGAACTGTGCGGATGCGACGTAGGAGAAAATACGTGATAAGCTATTTCTTTTGCTTTACGTTTGGGGCGGAGAGTAGGGGAAAAGGACTTGTGATGTGCGTGTTTTTTGCGCACCGCGCTGCCGGGCGAACGCTGAAGAGTGTTGCTGCCGTGGTTGTTGAATACCGTAGATGCATAAATTGAAAAGCCTCAGAGCTGTCTTCTGGTGCGTTTGTTTAGCAAGAACGCGAGCGCGGCATTTCATGGTAATACCACCCCTTGCAGCAACCAAGACGGCAGCACGTCTGCAGCTCGCAAGGCGACCGCGCAGTGGAAGGGTTAGTAAAGGATAAGGCTGGGCAAAAATGCAAATTTAGAAACGAGGGTTTGAAGTTTTCGAACATCTTGTGTGTTAGAAGTCACAAGTACAAATTCCGCGGCATAAATGCGGGGCGTCCTGACTGCTATAGGGCCTGCTCTAGCCTGCCTTCCAGGATTATGGCATGGCGACATACATATACTTGGAGTATACTTGTTCTATGGGTCGCTGAACATTGCAGGAACGGTTATAGCGACTTGTAATATCGCTTCCTAGAGCGACCCAGTTGGTAAACTGGACGACACAATATTCATCGTCATATGGGCATGGATGCTTTGTCGCGATGACACAGACACATGCGACGTTGCACGCATCTTATGCCATGCGCGTGATCGATTACTTGGCCGATTACTTGAACTTTTTGGCACGTGGGAAATACTGCGAACCGTCCGTTGCAAGACGCGCCTTGCGCAACACGAAGTCGTTTAAGGTGATCAATATTGCTGTGGATAATGCAGTTCTGATTTGGTAAAGATCGGTGCGTTAAAAAGGCTCGTTATGGCGATAGCGTCCTCGCTCAACCGTTTGTCACGAAAGCTACGGCTTCAGACTGCGTTAGATAAATATACGGTAACAGCAATATGAAAATTATTTGTTATTTGAATTGAAAGGAACTGGCTCCAGTTGGCGACTGGAGGAAGCATTAGTTCCTAACTTGCCCGATCTGCAGAGCCCGACATCAATCGCTGACTGAGAGACAAGGAAGAGAAGAATACTAAGCTTACAAATAATGGTGTAGGAATGCCTTAAATAGTCTGGCAAAGCCTTGCACGACACAGAGTCGTACCGATCAAAGCCAAACCCTACGTACTCGGTAACGAACACAAATCCCTTACATTTCCCCGGTCTTTCAAAGCTGCAACGTCCTCGTTGCCATTACAGACGCAAGCACAAGGTTCCCTTGCATACTGCAACTCACTGCTTTCATCACAACAGTGGGCATGCTCAGGCAACTGCACCCCCATACAATGCCATGGCATGACTACATATGGGACTCAGACAGCTAACCACATAAGGCAAGGTGTTCCAGCTAAGAAAAACCCAAAGACAGCATAGCTTGGTTCAAATGAAAAGCATGACTGTGTGAGCTCCGGAATGATTGCATCTACTGCACACATAAGCACACATGAGAACTCGAAGGAAAGTAAGAACGGAGAATCTCGTGAAGGTGATGGTAGGTCTCTTTTGAGCACTCGGCTGGGCGCCCCGGTCGACTTGAGCCAAAACACAGGGGCACACAGACACAAGGGCCAACATCGAGCTCCATGGCATGATGAGATGTGATGGCCTTTAGCGTGACGTTGGATCGACGACGAAGATAACGAAAACGATTGAACTCGTGAAACGTGGGGTACGCAAGCATCCAGTCGCTGTCAACCCGGTGCACTCCTGCCGTGGAGGCTGCTGCAACACGAGCACGCATACAACCTACACGACGGGCAGGCATACTGGCGACCAGGGCACGGCGATTAACGTTGAACGAACGAGGTAGACGGCGGGTTGTCAGCTTCCGCAAACGATAGAAGCAAACGGATATGGCCCATTCTTGAGCCCGAAACGAACGTGAAACTGCAGTCCAGCGCAAGGTGTCCAAACTTGGCCGGCTGTCGAACGACGGTAAGGCGTTCTGATCCAACTGAAAAGGAAAGAGCTCCGATTTCAAGTTGTGACACCAACTGTTACACTCGGAGTGGAGCGACTTGAGCCGACTTGCACACAACAGTGGCGTACAAAGCTGAATGTCAGTACCGAAGAGCGATGAACCCGGTAGTTACGAGATGCGGGTGAACGACCGGCAACACGGGCCGGCAAACAATCGATCGTGCGGTGGCGCGAAGTGCAAAAGCAGTGACGATGGGAAAACAGCTCCAATACGGACCGAGGCAGGATTGAACCATAACTCGATACCATATGAAAGGAACTGGCTCCAGTTGGCGACTGGAGGAAGCATTAGTTCCTAACTTGCCCGATCTGCAGAGCCCGACATCAATCGCTGACTGAGAGACAAGGAAGAGAAGAATACTAAGCTTACAAATAATGGTGTAGGAATGCCTTAAATAGTCTGGCAAAGCCTTGCACGACACAGAGTCGTACCGATCAAAGCCAAACCCTACGTACTCGGTAACGAACACAAATCCCTTACATGAATCATCTCAATTGAGTCACCTGTCGGTAAATTCGACAATCGCCATCGTGTCCGTCAAATAACAGCCTTTCTAACGTCCAACGGTATCCTAAGACAGTGTGAGCAACGGTATCCTAACATGGACGCTGTACATCTCATTTGTCATTGAGCGGGGGCCAAACAGCCATACTTGATGCAAAACGCGATTGAGGAATACCTTTCAGTGAAAAATCGTGATGTTTGCGGTAGTACCTTAATCCTCTGTTCTGTCTAGGCAAAGTTCCTGCAATCTTCCTTCATATATTCGTATAAGTTTGTGCAAGAGCACTCGTGATTTTCGGAGTCGTATCTCCCGACGGCTACACTCGCTCGCTTCGTGCTGCTGAACGTTGACAACGGAAATCATTCAAGAAGGTCCGGTACGCAGCCATCGCGGCACATTGTCGAGAAGATTATTCATCTATAGTCGCATGGCGATAAACGCAAACATCGTTCCTCATGATGGCCAACTCTTTTCCCGCAGCAGCTGTGGGATGGCTAACGCTTCGGACGATGTGACGGCTAAGCGGCTGGAGGTGTACCTTACGATGCAGCGACAATACGCGGAGCAGCTAAAGCTGTCTCAAGCGCTGTCAGCCCGACTCGATGCTATGGCATCCCAGGTTGGTTGTTCGCATCAGTTTTCACGCGCAGACTCGGTCTTGCGCGATGCTGTGAAGTCCATTGTGAAGACCTCAACTATCTTTTCTTATTCATTGAACAAATTTATTTATTTTGGTTTATCCTACGTTGACGGTTTGTTGCTGCGCAGGCAACGCTGCTTGAGGAGGTCCTTGTTTCGGCCTTAGGAAGGCTCGGCTCTTCCCGCGGGCGCCTGAAACGGAAAACCAACCCCGACGCCGCCGCCGACACAGTCGATGCCACCGAAGCTCCATTCGGCCATTCAGCCAACCTTCGAAGGAAAACTATTACTGATACAGCCAACCCGCAGCCTTCGCCTGCTGCGTTAGATGAAGCCGCGGGCGTTGACGCGGCACGGAGTTCGCGATGTGCTGCCGCACCGCGGGCAGCTGCCGTACCGCCGGCGCCGCTGCCGCCTGTCTGGGCGGACATCAACAGTTGGGATCGCATACGCCGGGTAACGTCTGTGCCACCACTGTCACCTTTCATGACTAAGGCGCTCATGGAGAGCGGCAGCAGCGGCGGCGGCGCCACCGCCGCCGGCCATTGCTCAGCACCGTCGCCGCCGCCAACGGCACTGCTATCTTCGCTCTCCGCCGAGCCGCCGCCGCTGCCGCCGTCACCTTCCCTGGCACCATCACTGCCGGCGGCGCTTCCCTCCAGCCTCCACTCGACTGCTACTGCCAGTTGGTCCGCGGGGAGCGACTCGCTTAACACCGGTAACACTCCAACTGCAACCGTCAACGGTCCGAGCAACTGCCTCGCCCTGGCCGAGTCGCCAACCGTGATGGATCAGGGCTTGGCGGAAAGCGTTACGAATGGCGGCGGCGGCGGCGGCGGTTGCGGCAACGGGATTGTGGAAGGCGCACGTGCTGGGCCCGCAAGACCGGCAGCGGCTTCTTGTCGCAATGAGCCGGCGGCGGCGGCCGAATGGGCGACGACGCCAACGCTGACACAAGCACATGCAGAGATCCTGCCGTACAACAACCTATGTCAGCAGGGAATTGTACGATTCCAGCAGGAGCTCGTGCAGAAGCTAGGAAAGCTGAATCGCAGAGGCGGCGCTGCCGGCGGCTGTGGCGGCGACGGAAACGGCAGTAGCAGCAGTACACACAGCGTCGCCAGCAGCGGCCTCGCCGCAGACGGCGGCAAATCAGGGCGGCGCCAAAGGCATCAGCATCACCAGCAAAAGCAGCGTTGCGATCTGGCGACGGAATCCGCTCTCGAATCCGTACGGCTCACAGCCACCAAAAGCGCTGCCGCACCTGCTGTCGTACAGGCTGCTCCGACATCTCTACACAGCCCGCTCGTCTTCAGCCCGTCGTACTTCAGCAACCCGCAAGTCCTACATGCGCTACAGCTCCAAGGCAACCAGCGGTACGAGGTTCCACTTGTACGGCATCTTGTACGGCAGCCTAGCGGCGTCTGTACGGACCCTCGGGACATGGACATCCTTGCCGGCCCGGGGGTCATGACCCCGGCGGGGTCTGGGACCTCGAACGACGCCCGCCCTGTAGACAACTTTGGACAGGTCATGTACGGCACACAGGCGGGACAGGCGCGTCAAGCATGCATGTACGGCATCCTTCCGTCCCTCCCGACATCCGCTATCCCGGGCATGCAGGTCGCCGGTTCAAATCCTGGTCCGTTCGCTACCATGGCGGCGTTTGACAGTCGCCCAAGTGGGGCCGCCGCCGCCGCCGCCATGCCCAATGGCGGTTCCGTAGTTCCGGGCATCTGTCTGAACCTGCAAACATTGCCGTACTCGGACCTGCCCACATTCGCCGCCGCCGCCGCCTCTGTCGATGACTGCGGTGGCTTGCTGTGCGGGTCGTCGTCCGCCCAGGCTTCAACGCTGTGGCAACATCAGGCTCTCCTTCCCACACTCGCCTGTCACAATGCCGCCGCCAACATGAACACCAACCTCGACGTGCAGAACCCCGTGTGCAGCCCTCGAGGTCCTCGACAGAATTTAGCTGTGGAGCCGCCTCCCTGCGTTTCATCTTCACCATCGATGTTAATGTCATCACCATCTCCCGCGCCGCCAGCGCCGTTTAGCCCCAGCAGCCTCAGCCTCATCCACGGGCCCGTGGGCTACGTGAGCGCACCGACGGTGTTTGAGGGATTAGGGCTGCGGCTGCGGCTGTGACGGGGGAGGTGAAGGGGGGCGAGGGATGGCGGGCACCAGTAAGGGAGGGAGGGAGGATGTAGTAGCTGGTACACAGTACGGCTCTACAAACACGCGCGTAGCGCGACCACCAGCATCTCGAGAGGCCTTTTCAGCGGCGGCCAGCTACTACAGAAGAAGAGGCAGCAGGCAGGGCAGAGGAGGGGGAGGGGAGGGGAGATGTGAATATGAATACAGGAAGTTTTAACAACCGCGGCAGATGTCACCACGAACAGGCGAGATATGCCCAATTCCAGTAAGAGTAAGTGGTGGACAAGTAGAAGAGACTGATTGGATTGGAGAGGCGGCAGAAGAAGAGCGGATGTGGGGCCTACAACAGCCATCTGAAAACTGCTGAACGTTTTGCAAAAGATGGACTTGGTTGTGATGGCGGTTGGGTCGTGTTGGCGGTTGGGTTACGATTAGTCTGTTGATGTGCGCTGCGGCGGGGGTTGGTCAGTTGGGGGATTGTGAGGTTGGTACGGCGATGTTTTGTGTGCCGATGTGGATACATGTGGAAGTACGGGGGGGGATGTAGGGGGGGGGAAATATGTGCTGGGAACCCCGATGGTTCCAAACGGCGGACGGATTGCGGATTGGCCACTTGGGACCTTCCTTCCGTACGGGGGTGTACATCTGTATGTGTGCTTGTACACAGTTCGCATTGATTGGAGAGGAACACCCGTCCAGTCTGTGCGCGTGTGCGCTGTCCCGGCTAGGCTAGGCGGCTACTACTACCCGCCCCTACGTCATGTTATTATTTATGTTGTTGGGTTGGGATTTCCAAATGAGGCCCAAAAAATAGTTGAAAGGGATATTGTACAGCATGATGGCTGTGGTGATTGATGATTGGTGGTTGTGAATCTGAATCGGTTGATGAATGAGACTGAAAAAAATATTGTGATCCTTCGGGGGGGTCATGCGGTGCGGTGCGGTGTGGTGTGGTGTGGGGGCGATGGTGTTGGGTCGTGTGGTGGTGTTGGGGGAGACTCCGAGTTCGTGGAATGAAAACCACGACACAGGAGATGGCGGTGAAGTGAGGTGAGGTGAGGTGAGGTGAGCTGCGCGGTGAAGACTTTGAAGGCTGTTCCCGAAGCGCGGAAGGCGGGTGAAGGGCTTCTAAAGGGGGAAGGGAAGAACGCACCCTTTGGTGTTTTTTAATATACTACGTATGTATGTATGCATACCGGATGATGGTGTTCTGCGACACGTCTTATGTCATGTTGCATATGTGCATATCGCATTGAGGGGATGTCGTGTGAAGATGAAATCCGAAAAGAGTCGACAGCCGCTCTTAATGTCCGTGCCTCTTGTGCCGTACACTGTCTGTCGTACCTCCTAAGGTGCTGTACGGCATGAAGCAGCTCGGAAGATGTCGTTGGCCCAATGAGAATCCAGGTAGTTCCTGTGGCCGTACAACAGTATCACAAGCGCCACTCTGCCGTACGAGCTGTGTATTTCGATGTCATGTTCTCCCATGCACCTGCAAGGTGTATGTATGCATGTATGTGTGTCTATGGGTGTTATGTAAAGCTTCCCTTTTGGGAAAGTATTTCTGTCATCAGGAAAATACCCCCCGGTTGCAGAAACGTATTTAAAAAATTTAGATGCCGTGGTTGGTTTCGGATCGTTTATGTGGAGGGAAAGGAAGACGGGAGGGACAGGCGGCGGGCTTTTACGGGGCGCCGTACGGAAACCTGTACGGTACATTTCCTCAGGAAGCGTGTGGATTCATGGGGGGGACGCGGGATGGACCGGGGGAGGAAAAGCTGGGTGAGGGGGTGGGGTGGGTGTTTTGCCGGGGGGAATGGGGGAAATGAGACGCGGATGGGTTGGTGACGTGGCGTGTGTGTGTATGATAATGTACGGCGTGTGCATAATCATAAGCACACGCGCGTGTGTGTGTTCGGAGTGAAAGCCTCGTTATGCATGAGGAGGCAGCCTATGCAGTCGAGTCCTTTTTCCAACATTTTAACTACATACATACATACATACGTAGCATATGTACATGTGGATGAGTGGGTGGGTGGTGGATGCGACGAGCTAATGCTCTTCACATTGGCGATGTGATGAGGTGCGAATGATGGAGGAGCGAGTCGTACAAACTGACGTACGACGTCGTACCATCTCTACCTGGTCGTTCCATTTGTTCGAGGTTATTATGACGTCATCACTGACTGAGATATTTTACTGAGGTGCTTCACTGAGGCGCAACTGCTGCCGCAGCACTGGCTCAATGTGTGGCCCCCCCCGGGGTGTCATCAGCCTGCACCACTGTTTGTTCGGCTTCGTCTCCTATGAAGACCATAATATTATCATATATTGCTTCGCTCCGTGTCGTACTGCCGTACTGTCGTACTTTACGTGTTGCCGGTTCCGCGATATGGCGCTGTGACATATAGAATACATAGATATAGAGAGAGCGAGATAGAGGCAAATTCGATTGCCTCGAAAGGTGGGCATGATGGGAGGATGTTTTTCTCCTCTGGACCATGAAGATATATATTTTTAGATATATATTATATAAAATAGTCGTTAGTAGTTACTTGGGGTCCAAGTCTAAATGATGTTTAGCTGCGGGTTTTGCTGCGCTGCTCTGCTACTTAACTAAATTGAGTCATTCTAGTCGGGGTGTTGACGACGAGGTTTTATACGCGAGCGCGTCGGAGCGAGAGGAATAGTCCCCTGGCATTATTGCCGGAAGCACTATACGGAATGTCATATCACCGTCTGTAATGTCGTTAAGTCGAGTCCTCCACTTTTATTTACTTTGGAAAGACTGCCTCGCTATGAACACGGAGCTTTACGCGCTTGTGCGCGCTTCAGTTGCCATAATGGTTTTGGTGTTTGTAATCGGCGGCACGCGGTGGTTGAAAATATTCACCGTCACTTATGTGTCGCTTGGGGTCCTGTTGTGTTGCTACAGCTCTGCGCAAGCGACGTTGCGTGCATTGTCAGATGTGTGTGTGTGTGTGTGTGTGTTTGTGTATATGTTACACCTTGTCTGTAATTTTTCACATCCCCAAGCCCTCTCTGGCCGGGGGACGGTACCCGCCCGCCATGGGTGAGACCGCCGAAGCACTCCGTCATTGGAGTGGCGTTCTTGTGTGTGTGTGTGTGTGTATGTATGTATGTATGTATGGCAGTGGAATGTACGGCTGCTCCACGCTTGCGCGCATTGCCGTGTGAGAAGCGGCGGGCGCTTCGTCACTGTCTGTCTGTCTGTCTGTCTGTCTGTCTGTTCCGCACAGTCCCCCAGGTGGCGCAGAGCTTGCCATCTTCTTACGCAAGGCGCCTGCCTGTCGCGACGCGCTTGTGTGCCTGTCTGTCTGTCTGTAAAAAAATGTTTGTCTGTCTGTTCGTTTACCTGTTCGATGCTCGGTTGCCATCTGCCCGTATTGCGACAGGGGGGTCGGAAAGAAGCATTATTTGCTTTCGGCTTTCGGTTGGCATTCGGTGATGTGTACGACAGTGATGACGGTGAAATACGATAAATGCACTGCGGATGATAGTAATAGCGATGGATGACGGAGACGATGTTGTTGATGATGATGATGATGATGATGATGATGATGATGATGATGATGGTGGTGGTGGTATTGGTGGTGGTGCTGGTGGTCATGATGATGGTGGTGGTGGTGGTGATGCTAAAGGAATGGAAAGAGCATCTGCAGCGTGTGCGTCGTACACGGCCATGTGGATGATGTGGCGACGTGCGCGCGTGCGGCTGTCACCCGGCTGACCGCCGTGGGTCCGTGTCGGGACGGGGGGGAGGTAGAAAACACGTCGCAGTCGGCATGGTTCGTGCGTGGGTAATGGCGACCGTGGTGTCGAGCATCAAAGCCAACGCCCGTGACGCGACCAATCGGATCTTTAGATGGCAGTTATTAGAACGGGGAAAGGGGGGGGACACCGGCCCAAATGAACGAAGAGTGAGCACATCTTTTGGATACCGTGTCTTATAATGTGTTTTATTACGTTTTCCCCCTTGCCCCCGGGGCTTTCCCCTCCCCTCCCCTCCCCTCCCCCCCAAGGGGACCCGCGGCTGTTATGTACTGGCGGCGATGTGCGTTTCTGCATGTCAATCAGTCAGCTGATGTCGTTAAGTCGTTAAGTCACAATCGCGTCTTCCTTCCCGCTTCCGCCTCCTCCTCTCTTCCTCTTGTTGTGAGCGGCTGATGAACTCGTCAGGATAACAGAGGGGATTGTACGGAGCCGTACGGGATTGTCCGGGACCGTTGGTTTAATTGTCGTGGGTTCTGGGGAGGACGGGAAAGAGCTCTGTGTTTGCTGTGACACGCTCCTAGTCCAGGAGCAATCTGCGGTTGGGGGTTTTCGGGGGCTGGCTAGGTACACGGTTTTGTCGTACCGGACTAGGCACGTGGGGTATGCGCGGTGCATGTGTGTGTGTGTGTTGTTGTTGCGTTTGCGTTTCCTCCCTGGGAATGAGGGTCCGTTCGGTACTAACAGTCGGGACTATCTGTGAATCACACACGTGATTTTTGATTTGGGTTTTAGGGTTTTGGAGATTCCTTTCCCCCCCCCCTTCTCTCTCCCTCTCTGTCTCCCTGTCTTTCTCGTTGTCGTTGTCATTCGGTCTCTTCTCGTTCGGTCTCTCTGGAGCGCAGCAACACTGCGCCACAGGGCCTCCGGATGGAGCTGAAACCACATCAAGCCTCTGTGCGAACGCGCCCTTGGCGATGATTTCCTTCCGCTTCAGAGCTGCTTGACTTTCAAACTGGATCGTTAATGAAGACAGTACGGAAAAAAAGATGCCGCCTTTCCTCGCTTCTCTTCCTTTTCCTGCTGTTTGATGATAAACAACGTGATGAGATGCCGTGTGGTTATGTAAAAGCCAGCGATTTCTTAATGTACGGCTACCCCGAGAGTGAAAGGCTGGAGGTAGTTAATCCTATAATTGGATCGGATTTGGATTTTAAAAAGCCCATCGGGTTCCAACGGTTGGGTCTTCCTCCAAAATCTCCTCCATTTATTTTTGAAAATGATCTTTTGCAGCCCCAGCGTTTTGAGGTTGCTCAGGTGGAGATTGTTGCGCTGATGCAGATGCGCGAAGTGTGGTGTCATTTGTGAAAGGATGTGGTGGAGCATGGCGGGGCCAGGGGAGTGTACGGCAGATCGTGGGCATCCAAGGTCTGCACGAGCCTTTCGTTATCGCTTCGGCATTACGAGAGGTACTTTTTGGGTACGACTTCGGAAGCTGATGTGGTCGGCTGCTGATGAGATTGTACGGCCCTGTACGGCATAAGGCTGCTGCTGCATTTTCGCAGTGACCAGGAAGCGTTCTTGCCATGTTCACCGCATTGTTTAGGTACGTTTCTGTAGTTTTGACACCGCTGCCCGCCGGCGGGCGTTCGTTTGGGGTTGAATGGTTTTTATTATTAGCTGAATGATTGCTAGCTGCCGTACATTCATCCGTATCTTGAAGTTGTGACGTACGGTCGTATAACATCATAATTCGGATGTCGGGACGAGGTCGCTTCGGGTCCTCGACTCCTCGCGCTGGCGGGCCGGCGGCATCCCCGTTGCGAGCTGGTGAAAAGCATAGAATTTGCCGTACTTGCCGTACCACCGTGTTTATGGGCTTCTTGCCCGTACGTGTGCAAAGACGTGCGCGTTTGCCTGCTAGAGTTGCATTTATCTTTATCCAGTCTAGGTCGCTGTTGTTGATGTTGATGTTATTGTTGTTGTCGTTGCTGCTGCTGGTGTGCAGGGCTGCAATCACTGTGTGTCGAGTGCATCGGTGCATGTGAACATCAAGCTGAGGAAAAAGGGACTTGTACCAATACTATCACACACCGGAGGAAACACCTTTCCGCGGGCTTTGCTGCAACAACCAATTTCGTGCGGTGTGCTCGGATGCTTAGCATTTCTGCCGGAGATGCTAAAACATTTTTTTGTAAACTGGAGGACAGACCCCGCTACGCATGTGTGCCCATCAGCCAAGCGTCGGCCAAGCTAGATATAACCCTAACAAACGTCAGCTCAGGTTTGACGAATTTGGCATCTCGTAATGTATCATCTTAAGATCGTGGAGGGTAACCGATACAGACATCATCAGCAACAACGTAAGAAATGAAATGAGCGGAACTGGCTGTCGGAGCCATCTGGCTGTCGGAGTCCATATGCAAACCCCCCACTTCCCCTGCCGCCGTTGCACTCTTTTCCTCAAAATCCTCATCAAATCCTGGGAGTGTGCACATATGCACACAGATATACATGCAAATGCACACATACGTACATACATACATACACACATACGCCACAAGATGCAATTGCGCCAAGCTGCTACTGCTTCTCCCTGCGAGGCACCAGTTGTTGCTCCGAGCTGCTACAGCCCCACATGTCCCGTCTGTGTTTCACTGTTCTTCGCACAGGGTCTGGGTCGCCATAACAGTAAAACCTTAAAACCTATAAACCATTAAATAATGTACAATTCAGTGCACAGGTGTTCCTGTTCCTGTTCCTGCTTCCGTTTCTCTTACGTCCTGCCCACCACCTGCAACGGTTCGCTCCTTGTCTTCACCACCTTGCATTCCCAGTAATTCCCAATAATTCCCAACTGCCTTAAGCTCATTTAAGTTGAAGACCGGCTACTCTATCTCAGCTGCAAGTGCCATTATTGCTACTCTACTACAACATTCGACTACATCGACTACCCAGTAACCCCTTCGACTTCGCATGCCAACCATTTAAACTCGTCTCGCATCGTAAAACCTCACAATACTAATCGTGATTAATGTGTTTCTCCTAATACTAATACGACGGTGATACTGAGCTACAGCTACAATTGCGATTGTTGCCGCGTCATCGCCGCCGCCGCCGTCGGCAGTTGCTGCTGCTGCTGCTGCTGTTTGTCGAGTGGCGGCGGCATCGCCTCCACGACGATGCTGGATGCGCCGCCCCCGCCGTTGCAAATGGCGGCGCAGCCCCTCCTACCCCCCCTGGAGCGCAGCACGTTGAGCAAAGTCACTAGGATGCGCGCACCGCTCGCGCCGATAGGATGCCCTAGAGCCACACTCCCGCCGAAGACGTTGACTCTGAAAGGCCGAGTGGAAGAAAATTTGGGTTTAAAAGGCGCTATGGGTTTTACTTTATTCAAAATATTAATTAAATCAGGTTCTAATACTGGGCTTTATTCCGGGATGTTGGCCTTGCCGATTGCAGTGTAACTTTAAAATGTACCTAAAACCCCAAAACCCTAAGTTAAAACCGCCCTAAAACCGTAACGTAAAACTCAGAACCATCCAAGGGACACACGCACCGCTCGGCCGGTAGCCCCAGCAACTGCCGGTTGACCAGGTCAACGACGCTGAACGCCTCGTTGACTTCCCAATAGTCCACGTCAGATGCTGACGTCAGCCCCGCGTGTTTGAGTGCGCGTGGTACTGCTAGCGCCGGGGCTGTCGTAAACCATTCTGGCGATTGTGCTGCGTCAGCAAAGCCCCGTACCGCCGCCAGCAATGGCAAGCCCAGACGCTGTACGGCGAATCGATGCATCGATGCGACCCATTTCCACCGCGGGGTAAGGGAAACGTGTGAGTTATAAACACAATGCCGTGCACACACATTGCTTGGCAAAAAGGTGTGAGGGGAAAAGTGAACCCTGCAGGACAGTACGACAGAAAGTTCGTACCTGTACGGCTTCATAACTTGCTATCACCAATGCCGCCGCCCCATCGGTCATAGGCGACGCGTTGCCTGCTGTGACCGTTCCGCCGTCACGACGAAAGTACGGCTTGAGCGCCGTCAGCCGTACAGGGTCCATCTTCGAAAGACTTTCATCCTCCCAGATGTACGACCCTGCTGTGGCGGCGGCGGGGCCCGCTGCTGAAGCCGCCGCAGCAGCTGCGGCGGCGGCCACCGTGCCGTACAACGACGGCGGAGTTCCACCGCCGCCGCTACCACTGCTGCCGCTCGCGCCGACGCCGCCAGGAATACCGATCGTCGCGCTGCGTGACGCTGGTCCCTCCGCACCGCTACTGCTACCGCTACTGCCGGCTGCAGCCCCGGCGCCAGCCACGCTTGGCGACACATTCGCACGTCCGCCGCCTCCGCCAGGCCGCGGCACGGGTACGACCTCCGCCGCTGTGTACCCCGCCGCCGCCGCCGCCACTGCCCGCCGGTGGCTTTGCAGCGCATGCTCGTCCTGCGGCGGTTATTGGCGGTTAACGACGGTTAATGGGCTGCGGCGGTTCTTCTTAGTGTGTATGTGTGTGTTTACGTTCCGTACGGAACACAACGCCGTGCCGCGTTTCCCCCCGCCTGTCAGTTCCAACCCCCAACCCCCCAACTACCAACCCCCAACCACCCGCAGCGGGGCCCCCAACCGCCGGGACCTACCTGCTGCTGGCGGCCCACTGCGAACCTGTCCGCGCACATCTCCGCACAGCTGCCCATGTGGATGTTGCCGTACGGGTCCCACAGACCGTCCTTGACAAGACCGTCCACAACGGAGCCGTCGCCTGAACATCAGTGAACATCAACAACAGGAAACATCAGCACGACACAATAACAAAATATCATCAAAAAGAGCTACATCACCAGCGGCCCCCCCCTACTACCACCGCTACCACCGCACACATGGGCCCTCGCTCTGTCACTATGCCACAACAAACCTGCTCCCCTTCCTCACCCAACTAACCCACCTGCCCTGTCCTTCCCACGCCTTCGTCTTATTGCCCGCGGCGCCGCAGCGCCCAGCAACACCCGCAAACACCACCTCACAGCATCACCACCACCTTCGCCATTTCCCTCATCGCGGCTCACTAAAACCACTAATCACAGCGCCTTTCACAGCACCAAGGGGCACATCGCTTTCTTTTGGCTTCTGGAGTACCTCTTTTTGACGCGAGCTTCTGCCGTCCGCATTGGCCTCCTTACCGAAGATTAAATCATTAAACGAAAAACACGTACACGCAACCCCCCATACACACACACACGCACGTACCAACCCCTTCCCCCCTATGGCGCACTCTATGGAGACACCCACCCAGTCTCAGGCCCTTCCTGGCCCCGGGCAGGTAATGTGGGGCGTTACTCATGCTCTCCATGCCGCCAGCCACAATGACGTCAGCAGAGCCTGAACGCAACCGGGTGTGGGTGGGGGCCGGGGGGGGTCCGGGGGAAGGGTTGCGCGGTGGGGGAAGGGTTGCGCGGTGGCGATGAAACGGGGGTTGGACTTGGAGGAGACTCTGCCTCTTCCTCCTCCTCTTCGCCCCGCACTCTTCTAACCACCCAGCAACCGAACCCTAACGACAAACGACTAACAACCCTATTCCGCCGCGGAAACCTTACTCGCCATGATCGCCTGTGCCGCCAGCATCACCGCCTTCAGCCCCGAGGAGCATACCTTGTTCACCAGCGTGCAGGGGGTGCTGGGGGGGAGCCCGGCACCGAGGGCCGCCTGGGTGGCGGGAGCCTGATTCCGCAGGGGGAGGGAAAGGAGGTGGGGGAAGGTTGAAAACCCACACGCTCACACTTGGTGGGCGAGGAAAAGGGTGAAACGCACAAGGGGGTTGTCGGTGACGTGTCCAATCGATGCGGGCTTATATCTGTCTGAGGATTTGACAGCAGCAGACAGCAGCTGCAGCAGCAGCAGCAGCAGGAGGGTCGCACCTGGCCGAGGTTCGCGGATATAACATTGCCAAAGATAACCTCATCGACATCTTCCGGCCGCACACCGGCCCGCTCCAGGGCTCCTAGAAGTGGAACAAGGGCACCATGATATCATCCTAGATTTGTTGAGGAGGTAAGGACGCCAAAGGTAGAGGAAATAACAGAATTCTGTCAAGTTCATAAAGTTCTTACTAAGAGGCAGATTCCATCGTTGGCTGCATTGGCGTGACACAGGACGGGCGTGAGTTAGGGCATCAACTAGTCTACGGGTTGAAATAAGCCTGACATGCTTTCATGAGATCGCAAGGGCATGCAGTCAATTCCACTCAGCCAATCCATTATAAGAGTAGAGAAACGTCGGCACCGCCTAACTGTTCCGGTACTGTCACAAGCTGTAATTCGATCAAGAAAGGTGCTTTGCTTCTCTCTGGGATTGCAAACACATTTCAGTAGCCACAGCGCAAGGCTCACCGCGTATAGCAAACGCCCCAAGCTCCATTGCGGTATAAGATGACAAAGCTCCCTGGAAGGCACCTAAGGGTGTCCTTACAGCGCTAACAATGCAAGGAGTCCGTGGCGTTAGGGCCGCCATGTTTTCCGACATTAGGGCACCAGGTGGGTTGCAGAGCGCGGCGACCAACTGCAAATCGAGTGGTTACCGCAGAGCTTGGGAACACGTTTATGTTCACGTACATACTCCAGAGGGTAAAGTTCCCAATTACTCATACCTCAAAGGTCACGTCCTGCCCTCGGACTTGTGTCTCATTCCGACCGTTGGTTCGGTAAACATCTGTACCTGCCTGCATGTCACGAACATAACGCACTTTGCAACTTGTATGCTTGTCCCCAATCCAGTACTGAAGGGATTACGCTTGCTTGTAAACTTTTTTTTTGCCCGTTTACGTTTACAAGCTTCATGCTTGTACGGTCCAGACGAGCCAAAAGGCTCATGAACCGCCAAATTGGAAACAGGACTCAAAAAAGAAAAAATGCTAATACCCAACAATATCAGATTGATTAATCTTCAACGTACTGCAACCTGCATCTTCTAATGTCGTCCAAGACGCGCGCTAACCCGCGTTGATCCTTGACGCCCATAATCTCAATCATGCGGTCCCCAGGATTAACCCCCAGGTCCCAAAGCTTCAAACGGATATTCGCATACGCAGGACAATCTAGCAGCACATGACATTCATCTCAACAGCTTGCCGGTTCCCACAGACTCGGCACCACCGGGCAGACCGTTCCCTACCGTGCGGTCGATTAACCGCCAAAGGCCAAACACACATCCTGAAGCGCATCAGCATGACGTGCTGTTTTGGCGAGATATAGCCGCTGCCATGCTTGGGCAAACCCATCCAATGCTTATAGCGGCACATCTTTACCCCTGGTTGCCTATTATCTGAAACAAACAAAGCTGGATCCACTGTCAACCGCTCACTTTCCCAGTCATCACCAAATCGGTTCCGAAGTTCACAGATCAACTGGCCTACATCTAGTGAACGTGTCGCCAGAGCATCAACTTTGACCTCAATGTCGCCTGAGTCGTCCACACCCGTCCGCACGTTATGGCCCATCAACTCAAGGATCTTCAGGACTTTCGCTCCCCATCCATCATACGTCATGCCAGATGATAATGCCAACCGCAGTTCCTCCCGAAAGCAATGGTGATACACAGAACCTTTTGCCTCAACCAACCTGTTCCAAAAACGAAAAATCAGGATTGCCCAATGCACTTGCAAAGGGTATTGACCCAACTCTCTGAATAGTAGCCGATTTGTTGGCAAGCCAGCACCACTCAACTGCTTCAGGAAGTTCTTCTGCAGTTCCACCATCCTGTCTTACAGTGCAATCTCAAAATAACACGATCGTGGTTCCTGGCTGTTAGGGTAACCGCGCTCCAGGATGTCCAGAACCCTTAACGGGCCCCAAACCTGTACCCCGTACGACAGAATAGACAGAACCTGGGCATCAAACGCTTTCATCGCAACAGCTCGGACAAAAAGCCCTTGTCGCTTAAGCTTACTAACCAGCGAGAAGAGCGCCTTCTGGCCTGATGTAAACAACTCATCTGTGCACGATTCGAAAGTTGTACCTGGTCCATAATGCAGGCCCAAATATCGTGCGCGCTCCTTCCAAGGTACACTCAAGAGCGCGTGTCCCGTAGCCTCCTTCACACTCATGGTAACAAGCGTAAACTGAAAGCGCCAAATCCTCGAACTGACAGTTGTCCAAAAACACCTTTCTTCCTTTCTCTTATAAATAGCTCGATTCGTTAACGAACATCTTTCGTATTCCTCAGCTTCACTGCCTACCCCGGGGGTAATTGACCTTGAAAGCCGCAAGAGTGACTTCAACCAGGGTTAGGTCCAAACCTCACCCAGCCAAGCGGGGGGAGGACGGGTAAGACTAGCTGGCAGTCTAGCTGGCAGTCTAGCTGCGAGGAGATGATAGATAAGGACCCCAAAGCGGCGGATGCCCGGGGGGGGGGGGGTCCCAGGGGGGGGGATATCGGTAGACCTTACACAGCTGGCAGTGTGTGTGTATTGAAAAAGGGGAAATAGGTGTGATGTGAAGGTGGGGAGAGGCCGGGTAAGCAACACTAACGTGTACGTGCAGGGGCCTCCCTCGAAAAGTTGTGTGTGGGGGGGGGGAGATCTGCGGTGTCAGATCAGGAAACGGCGGGGCAACAACGGACTTCCCCTCTCCCCCTCTCTTGCCCTGGCAGCAGCTTCACTCGTTTGTGGTTCGTCTTTCCCCCCCTCTTCCCCTCTTCGTCACCTACCCTCACCTGCCATCATTCCATATACCAGAGGTGAAGGGTGGAGGGAAAGAGGTGTGAAGAGGGAGGGGGACGGTTCTCTAGCAGGGGGGTTCTCTGCGTGGTAGGCGAGAGCAGGGGAGGGTTCTCTGCGTGGTAGGCGAGGGGGAGGGTTCTCTGCGTGGTAGGCGAGAGCAGGCAGCGTCTGTCAGCTCTCTTGTGTCAACAGGTCCTTTGCTTTGTTTCACGCTGAAGCTCGTGGTGCGAGATAGCGCGGACAGATCAGAGCAAACCCTCAGGTCAGACGCAGCTGCTCACAACATCAGGCGTATCAAGTAAATTACCACAAGCAGTGGTTACCATTCAACAGAAGGAAACTCTCATCACTCTCGCCCCCTCTGCCGCCGCCGCCGCCCCCTCTTCCTGCACATCAAGGGCAACTTCAATGTCGAGTACATGACGGCTGCCGTCTGCCAGCGCTGCAGTTACCGACACCACATCGCGGAACACCGTAATCGCCATCACAGCACCCAACGAAGAGGAGCGACGCCACCTCCTCATCTTGTTGTACGACATAAGCTGTGCTGCAACCCCGCCCTCTCCGCACGCAAATGGAGGAACCCAACACGCACTGAGCCGAGCCCTCCGCCCAGCCGTCTACAAAAGGTTCATTTCTCCCCCTCGCGTGTGTGTGGGGGGAGGGCGGCAACTAACCGCCTAACCCCACCTTTAAATCGTGTACAGGGAGGGCCGTATACACGCGGAAATACGCCCCAGAAGGGATGGGGGGATGAAGAAAATCACTCTCCAGCAATCTTCAGCACACAAAACACACCCAGCCACCTACCTGTGGACTTGAACATTCACAACGCCTGCACTGCCATGTATCATTACCACACTTTTCATTGAACGTCGTACAGGTCGGACATGGCTGAGCAGGTTTCCCTCCACCCCGCCATGTCAGGCAGGTGCCAGCCGTCCTCACGTTCAACAACATGTGTCTCTTTGCGGCGGTACAAAAAAGCCACTTCGTTTCCTACAGCGCTCTCCACTTCGCTCTTTACGCAGCTATATCTCTCCTCTTCCTTGCATGCGGTCATGAGGGCACAGGGACTACGGTAGCAGCAGTGGACGTCGCGCTGAGATGCCGTCAAGTGTACGGCGTCCACACGTCCAGCTGCAATATCAACTCTCCAGCAAACCTACAGCTACAATAAGGAATCCTACTACTTGCCTTCTTCTTACCAGATGAATTATTGCTATCCTGCCACATGGCACCCTGCTAATCTCGGCCCAAATGAATTCACCCTCCCATAACTCAATCAACTAAGGTTGCTCCCGTGTGCACCTTTCCGTGTGCGCCACCCGAACCCCATGCCTCGCCCTTTCCATCTCGGTGCTCAGCTCAACCTCAACGCCAGGTGAGACCAGGCCCCAGCCGCGCTAATAGCTGCAGGGCCCCTGCATTCAGCCGCGGCTTACACCAACAGCCGCGGATGCAGCCGCTCTGCTGCCACACTGCCTTACTCGCCAACGTCTTCGATAACACCCATCACCCGCCAGGCCTTTCGTTGTCTCCCCCGCCTGCCCCGATGTCTTCAGCATCTCCCTGGCACTTTGCTCCACGTGCTTGGGTCTCCATCACCGACCCCCCAACCCATCCCGGCCTGCCCTGACCATTGCGAGTCGGCCCAAACGCAATACCCACTAAAGCAATTTGGATGGTACGACATTAGCAGCCGCCTCCCAGCATTTCCCGGTGTCCGCATGCATGGTTGTACCAAACCAAAAGCAGCTTCCACATCCCGTGCCTCGTTGCCGCTGTAGCAGGGAGTGAGAGGCAGAAGTCAACTTGAGAAGAGTGGGAAGACAGTCGACAAGCAGTAAGCACAACCGTGTGCTGATCCCGTACATGCCTCATCACACGTGTACCATGAATGGGGACTGTGGGGCCTGCAGCTATGAGGACAGACGTACACAGGTGGTGACATTGCACGAGCCCAACTGCTTACCTTACTATCCGTGGGCTGCTCCATGGCCAACACGTCCTACAGTCATATCCCCGCAAGCCACTCGTGCGCCAGTGCGCCCCTAGCATCCAGCTCCCGGTTAGACAGTGCGCGCTTGAAGGCCACACCGCTGGCGCTGAGCTCGAAGGGCAGGTAGGCCAGAAGGCAGTGCGACACGAGGCAGAGGTCCGACGCGCGCGTGTAGCGGCCATCCACCGAATCCAGGATGGGGTTGAACTCCGGCCACGTCGCCAGGGGAAAGGGTGACTGGCGGCAGTCCTGAGAGCTCTCAGCCCGCCCTGTTGGCACAGCGACGGGACGTGGGCATTATTTTACCCCTCATCATGACGAACGGCAGGAGCAGTGGATAAAACGACAATACTGCGGGAAGGCCTGCTACCATAGACAGGAGACGACCCTATGCCTGGAGGCTGTAACACAGTAATGTATTCCAAATAAGTCGAGGCTGACTCGTACATTTTCATTACTTCATCCAAAAATGACGGACAGCTCTTAAGTTCAGAAACATAGTATCTGAATTATAGAATGCAATGAGGGGTCATGGATGGTCATTGAAAGGTCACGCCCGTGAGTCAACGCGGCATAGCAGCATATATGACTGTTCAAACACAGCAAAATATGCACAGGCCAAGGAAAAACAGCAAAGCAGCAAAATTACTAAGAATTCTTAGTGACACTGTTGTTAACACTGTTGGGACACTGGTGCTAATGTCGGTCACACACCGGCGATGGTGAGTTTGTGAGTGGACTAGTTGTAACTTGCGGGGGAGTCTGGGGCCCCCGGAAGCCGCCCCAGCGCCTCACAGCTAGGTAGTAAATCGCACAAAACCCTGGAAATCTAATATTTGATGATAAGTAATAAAAAGGGACCCTCAGGCCCTAAACGAAAAAAACACTGGGCTGTAATTGAAAAGCCACCCACCGGCGTGCTCCAAGTCAATCAGGATGAACTTATCCGCCACGTTGGGTGCTGAGCCTGGCACCATGATCACATTGGCCCAGCGAATGTCCCGGTGCACGAAGCCTGCAAGAGGAAAATCATAAGGCCAGCGAGAAGTGGTAACCTTGAGCAGCAATACCAGTAGCAGCAATACCAATAGCAGGTTTATCAATAGCAGCAATACCTGCCTCGCCATCAGTGTATACACACTAGGGATGGCACGGGTACTATACTAGAAAAGAGTACTATACTATAATAGTACTATGTATAGTACTATTTACTATGCAGGGCTCTAAACTGGTACTAGTTTACGACGCTCGTACCGCGTTCGTACATAGTAAAATAGTATAGTAAAAATAGTACTATATAGTACTAGATTTGGGGTTGGATAGTGTCCAGTACTAGTTGGACCAAGTCGAGATCTGCAGTCAAGCTGTATTTTGAAGGGCTATAGCCGCGTCTTCGAGCTGTGCTACGTAGTTATTGATGAATAATGTCAAAGGAATCCAGTATAAAGAATGAGAAGGCGATCAGAGGCTTGCATCCTGGTCCAGACGTCCCCTCTGAAGTTCTCCGTTCTCGGAACGAGCTTTTTAACAAGCTTCGTAACCAGAAGAAGAATGCCAAGACGGGTAACGAAATTGTTGCCTGACAGCAGCACCCGTGTGATGGGGGCTTCGCTGGATGACTGCATCAGCTACTGGGATGTGCACCTCGCTTCACAATTCCCACTGATTGCATCGGCAGCCATTCGCTTGCTGCTGATGCACGCATCAACCTGCTCGTCCGAGCGCAACTGGTCGGCATGGGGCCTCGTCTACACGAAGGCGCGCAATCGGCTGGCCATTGAGCGGGCGGAGAAGATCTTTTACATCCGTGGCAACGCGGGCTTGCAGGGCAACCAAGGCGCTGCGGCGGATGAGTTGGAGCTGATTCTCCAGCAGTGCGAGGAGGACGAGCAGGAGCAGGAAGCACAGCAGCAGCAGCAGCAGCAGCAGGGAAACGTACACCCTAACACGCAGATTGATGACTGAGCAACGATAGATTGAGTGTGTTGTCTTGTCAACGCTGGGTCTTCTATCTGTGATTATGTCTTTATGTGCCATAACACGCCTTGAGACATGGGGTTTGGGGTCCACCTACCGGGCACCAAACTAACAAAAAGTGATCTGGATGACCACAGCGATCTGCTTTCTCATGTCTAAGTAAATATTTAGAAAGAACAAAGGAAGACCTTTCCAACGGTGTAATTTTCAGGTACAACGGTTGGTCGTACACCCCCCTTCTACAGGGAGCTTGTACCTGCATAGTAATAGTATCATAGTACTATATTACTATATATAGTACTATTTCATAGTATACTATACTATTTGGGAAAATCAATATAGTATTTTTGCCAACCCTAATACACACACACACCTGCTGCATGGAGCGACTCAATGCCAGTGAGCACGTCCCGGATCGCCTGCTTAAGGCTGGCCTCGTCCCCGGGCGGCCCGTACTGCGGCAAGCCCTGGGGCACCAAGTGCAGCACCAGCGTCTTGCCGTCTAGGTGGATGGCGTCCATGTCATTGGATGAGTGGAGCCGTACAAGGTTTGGGCACTGCGCCAGCGCGGCATTGGTGTACAGCTCCTGTGAATGGGTCATGTAACCAGAGGTTTGCATGTCAGCATGCTATGTAGGACACCATGCTGACTGTTCAGGGCCCAGCAGGTGATGTGTACCTTGAGAAGGCTGTAATCGTTAACACCAGAATGCTGCTCCTCGAAATTATAGACACGCTTCTGTACAAAATCTGCAAGACATGTACATACGGCGGGTTTCATTAGGCCAAATTATGGCTGCCAGTGTCTACATGACTGCAACCCCGCAGCACCTTCAAAGAATCTGATGGTACGGAGGAGCTCTCCACGAGGACCCTTGGATTGAATCTCGCTTCCGAGGGCGACCGGAATCTTAGGCGCGTGTGGCGCGTACGACGCCAGCAGGCGCACGATGTTGAATGTGCAGTGCAAGGCTCGGATGCGCCCCAAGGGCGTGCTCAGATCGTAGAGACTGCTGATTGGGCGAACTTCAACTTTACCACTGGAAGAAAAAAAGAACACCGTCAGGCACAGGGGGCAGAAGTTTCCCTATGGACATAAGTGTAGGTGCATCTATATATTGAGGAGTGACTGTAGACCATCTATTGCCAGGCAGATCTGTTGTACCATGGCACGTTCTGTAGACCAACCTATACAATAAACATATGTTACAATCAATTTCTCAGTGCTATCTATTGTAGGATGACCCTGTCCGACATCGTTTAGAGCCCTCATACTTCATCCGTACCTGTTCCGGATGGAAAAGAACTGGAGCATGGTACCAGCAGCCGCGTAGGCTATCATGCACGGCATGCTGACGCCAGGCAGCAGCTCTGGCACCCTGGTGGGGTGAACATGACAAGCATCAGACCAGCCCCACGGCTCTCATACCAGCTGTTGTGCTTGCACTACCACGTACCACGTGCGTGCCATCTTGTCCGATAGCTCTTTAATGGCCACCTGTAAACATGTGGCAGAAAGGAAAGGAGCAGGGGTCAAGGGGCTCAGGGGCGCTACAGGGTTATGCTAACTTTGCTTGCATATGCCTGCCCAGGTTAAGTCCTACCGGCATGCCTGATGCCGATGCCTTATCCTCGCCCTTAAATAGTAGGGCGTTATTTATCCAGCAGACGTAGTCAGGCCGTTTCCGTTGAACTGTGGTTACAGGGGGCGATGAGGCACACGGACATCACCAGGAGTGCGGGGCCGTGAAACAGATCAGTGCAGCAACCAGAACTCTCATTGTGGGTGACTATGGCGCCAAAGCTATGCACTATTGACCCGAAAATATGTGGGATGTTCATGGGGACATCAAAGGGGAAAAGGGGAAGCATTCGAGAAAGGTTTCGTTGCATCCCTCTTCACAGCAGTCCACCAACCTACCTGTGGCACCAGATGTGTCCTTCACGTTGCGGTCCTGAGACACGTTCAGGTTGAGGGCACGTGCGGCGAGCTCAAGCGGCATATCCACGACAAGCGCAACCTTGAAGGCAGTTTTATACTCTGATGTGCCGCCTGCAGATCCCCCGATGAGTGCCAGTTCGACAACGGTCGACAGAGCATGTGCAGTTTTAACATCATCTTCATCCAGGGTGATGTAGTCCGCGATGTCGACATCCTGCTGGATGATGCCAAGCCTTTTGTGCACTGGCAGCTTCCGGGCCAAGGGCCCTTCCAGGAAGCTTCGAAGATCTGTTACAGCCGGAAAAGAGCCCAGTGATAGCCGTGATGTCAGTGATGGCAGCATCTCGCGGATGTAGCGGGAACTTGTGTCGGTTTCATATTTAGCTGCAGATAGAGCACAACACGGCATTAGCACTCAATCCCTGCTTACAAAGGCAATACACAGCATTACGGGCCTCATATATTGCACTCACCGCTGGCTCCAACTTCCACCACACCTGCAGATGGGGGAGGATCAGGGAACCCAAGCCAATGCATGTTAGATCCGATATTTAATATATTACCCAGCCACCTCATGCAGGTACAGCTGCCTGGGTTTATCCCCCTGGTAACACATTACCGCCCTCTTCTATCCAGATCCAGAGTATGTTGACTCATCGCAACTCAGTTATCCCGTTTGGGTGCTAGTCTGGGCTGATAGTGCGGTGTTTCCTTTTCTCCGTGGCTTTTAGGAAAGCATTCAGCTCCAACAAGTTAACTTAAAAATGAGGCGAACTCACCAGAGCTGGGACCCGGTGGCGGGGCAGCAATTGCCGCAGCTGTACATCAAACAGGGAAAACGAGGGTGCATTACGCAGTTAGGTCATTTGTCACGACATAGCAGGGGTGTGCTCTTTTGGCAAAGGAACACACAGCTGACCAACGATTGCCTCCTTCAGGGCGTTGCGTTGCCGGAGGTTAAGTTGCGCTCGCAGGTCATTTACGTCGAGACGACGAAATGCGCCTCCTGCCTCAGCGCTCACATCGTAACCCTCCCTTTCAAGAACTTCGAGTATAGGAGAAATCGAGGCCTCAGTCTCTCCGTCGACTGCAGCGATCGCTTCGCGTACAGTCGGCATTGGAGCAGAAGTTCTGCGAGGCTACACCACAGCGGTTCCTATGGCATGTCTCAGCGAGCTGACCCTGCTAGCGCAAAAGCTCGTCCGCTCTCAACCGCAACGCTTAAACAAAGTGAAGAGAAAAGGCTGGGCTTGTTTCTGCGGTTAGTTGTAAATACAATTGTTTGGATTGTGAAGGCGCACACCCGAGGAGCTGTGTTGTGATGGATGGATGGATGGATGTTACAAGCTTCAGCGAGCTCGTACGGCCCAAACGAACCCGGAGGCTCATGAACCGCTTTGACAGCGCCGTCGATAGGGAAAAGAAAAAAGAGGAAAAGTAAACGAAGCAAACAAAACAAACAACAAAAAAGGAAAGTTGTGTTGCATTTTGGGTAGTACGACACACGGAACCCTCTATGGTTTCCGGAACCGACACGAGTAAGCACTTAATGAACACGCGCATTCACATAGACACAAACACAGGAGCTGTTATCTGTCCCACTGGGTCTTCAACAGAGCTAGTCTTACATGCGCAACGAGCTTGCAACCGTCATTCACGCTGAGATTCCGTTAGGTCGTCAAAGCGACACTTACAGTCGCTCCACGACCCGTGCTCTTGCGCGTGGCTAGGGTTGATGTTCTCACATTACACACAGAGGAGAACAGATCCCCCACGTCCAGACCGCCGTCACGACCGCCGCGGGTTCCGCCCGGCAAAGTATCTCCTCGCCTCGACAGAGCCCACATCCCGGGCACTGAAAACATAAGTACGAAAACTGCCCCTAGTTAAGAGCAGTCACACGAGCCGCGGTACCCTCCATCGCTGAGGGAATCGAACCCACAACAGCCACCAAGTGTCGGATGAAAATAAGTTCATCCTATCCATGCCCAGCACATCCTTCACCGCCGCCAACTCCATGCACATCACCCCCGCAATGCCTGTACCTCTGGCGCAACCCCAACCGTGGCTTTTAGAGCCAACTGTTGTCGAACAGTGAGGCCTGCTGCTTGTTCCGCATTCAGCAGTCGGAAAGCGCCGCCGACCTCGGCATCTACGTCAAAGCCTAAATCTGACAGGGCCGCAACAGTTGGCGAAATGGATCCGGCGTCCTCGCCCCACAGAAAGCAGGGCTTGCCGGATGGTCACCATGTCTTGATAGACACTGACCCTGTGTAATAATTCAATTGTATTTGTAATGTCATGAAGTTAGTTGACGAGCTATCGGAATACATGCGTGACCATGTGGTAGCTTCGGAGCTAGCGGACGAGGACTTGTGTACGACAAGTGAAGTTGTGGCGCGCTAGCCTGGCTATTTAAGCGGACTAATTTAGGAGCATTGAAAGTCTGAGATGAGATTGAAGATATCTGAGATGACATATCGATACTCGGTGCAAACGCCAGTATCTCAGTTAGTAAAGTCAGCTTACGCTTCCCAATTATAAGGAGCGGCCTGGTTCCCAGTACAGTACTGGAGGCCACTGTAGTATTTCGGCCAGGCCGTACCCATGTCTTCACTGCGTTAAGTAAGCTGAGTTAATTGGGCGTAAGGCCCAGTATATGTTTGTCTAACTGTTTCGCACGGCCCGTGTCCTCAGGGCTGTTTCCTCAGTTTCCTGATCTATCCGGGTTAACTTGTGGCTGGGCATTCCACCGACCTCAGTTTTTGGGTGTGTGTGGGAGGTTGTATGCCTCGCGGCCATCAGCTCACTCAATCTCGGTCGCCGCTTGTTGTTTAGGGAAGGTCTCCAGGCCAACATGACCGTATCTACGTCAACGCTTAACCGCATTACTGACGACGTTATGTTATCTCTGACTTTGGGGCCCGTTTAACTGCTTTTGCGGCACGGGATAACTTGCCAAAACGTTGGGAACACGTGCCTCACAACCACCCTTTCTTATATCTCAACGACGCAGCCAAGGTTGTTTGCCGCGTACTGATGTCCAATGATGAGGTTTGAGGGCTATACTAACTGAGGCCTTGTGTCCAGTGAAGTTAGTACGGCCTGGCCGAGTTCTTTTTGAATAATGCCTACAATGTTGTGCGGGATGCGTTCCTAGGGGGCGCTGCACTCGACCCGTTCTGTAACGACGCAAGGCCCAACTGTGAGCATCCCGGGTTACGCCTTTGCTTTGTTACAATGGTCTCGAGACCATTGTAACCCCCTAACCATTGAACCCCCCTTAGCAATGGACGTCCTCGGCCATTATATCGAGCACAGGAGCCATCCCACTTCACGCTTTCTGCGTTAGTTTATCCATTACACCATGATATCGGTCCACTGTAACAATCGCATCCTCAGGGCCGTCATTTGTAGCGCGCATTACGCTGGTTAGCTTATCATGATTTTGTTGTTCAGCGCGCGCTGATCAACAAAATGGGTCCCATCGTTGTGCCTTCGGCTCGTCAGCGAGACCCATCGAATAGAGTGCAGTGGAGAATATAGAACACTAGCACCATATAGTTAGCCCATCTAATTGAAGCACATTTCATAGTGCTAGTGGCGGTATCGCTAGGCATGACTCCATTCCTGGTCGGCTCGCAGGTTAACTTTATCCCAGGTCACCACTGTCCATCAACTAGGGGCGCAATACCTTCCACCATAGGAAGGATTGTCGACCTTGATAGGTCTCGATCACGTTGGTGTGCTGGAAGTTGGTTGCATGTGGCTCTTGGCAGGATGATGTTACCGAGCCAGCATCCGCTGCTGTAACGCAGGGGCTTTCTGTCTGAGCGATTTGGGAGGCAGCTGCTTTGTTGCGGTGCCAAAGTTTTAACAATGCTTTTCGGGCGCCTAGGATGTCCAGCTTTGTGCGTTTTTTTGGTATGTTGTTAGCTCCGTAGCTTGTGATGTTTATCGCTATTGCTAAAAATTGACGCGCTATTACTTCGCATGACGGTAGGCAGTACAAATCAGCAATAATGATGTCGGCGGTGGCGATAAGTGATAATGAAATAGGGCTCAGGGTTTCTGTACCCTTGCTGCCTGCCCGTTCCTCTATTGCTCTCCTCCATAGCTAGTAGGGTCCTCATGCCTGAGGAAGGCACTCGGGAAGAGCGTCCAAGCTCGCACCAGGTTTGCCGTCAAAATGTCAAGTGTCCGTGCGCCTTTTTTTTACAAAAAACTGCAGATCCTTCATGATACCTTGGCGCGGTTTAGGAAGGGAGCCCTAGCGAATGAAATTCCGTCTGGGAGGAAATCCGACGACGAACTTGTTTAGGAAAATCGTTGTGAACGGAAGCAGCTGCCCGCCGTCGGCTCGTGGTCATCGTCATCGTCGTTGTTGCGTATCCACTTGACGAGGCTTAGCTGGGGCACCCAGCTGGGACGTTAGGGAACAGGGTCCCTGGCGGGGTACAGCGTGCTTGATATGGATAATCAAGAGCCCCACGAGCGCGGACGTCATTGAGACGGTGTTGCCCCGTGCTGTGGGAGGGCCTTGCGTGTTGGTTGGGTTTTATGTGGTTGCCTGAGGGGGAGCTCGGTTACTGATCTTCCAGGCAGAGCAGCTGTTCAGGCACACACATACATACATACACTGAAACACAGGTGTGCGCGCACGCGTGCATACACGCATGCACACACATTGCCAGGCTTTCTGTTGCGACAGGGTTATATTATATATAATAATAATAATAATAATAATAATAATAATAATAATAATAATAATAATAATAATAATAATAATAATAATAGTATTTCTTCTGCGTTTTGTTTGCGATATCTGTTGCTATTTCGGACAGCCTTCGGCGCATGGGCTCCATCCCCTCATCTAGGTTCCATGTATGTATGTATGTATGTATGTATGTATGTATGGGGCCCCCGTGATGATAACCTTGGAGCAGTAGGGGGAAACGAGTCAACTCCAGGAGGTGGTGTAACCCACACGCGCACACACACACACACACACGCTTAAGTTGCCAAGCCGCTGTCACGCCATATGACGTGCTAACAGACATAAGAAATGTATCCTATGGCTATGTGTGCTCGTTTCGTGCCGGCATTCAGTCGGGTCATTTTCATGCGGGTTTTGACCGCCGGGGGGGCTCTTCTAATCATTTTGGTGTGCGTGATTGTCGTGCGATGGTCGCCGTACCGCAGTGTACGGACTATGCGTTAAAGTTACTGTGTATGGATGCTCGTACTTCCACTTGGTGTTGGCAGCAGGCCATCGTGATTTTTGATGGTAGTTATGATGAGATGTACACTACAGCGACGGGCGCGTTTCTGCTGTCGCCTCTCCTGTGTTGGCGCGATATGTTGGGTATTACGACGTATTGTTGGCTGTAACGACGGTGATACTGAGCTACAGCTACAATTGCGATTGTTGCCGCGTCATCGCCGCCGCCGCCGTCGGCAGTTGCTGCTGCTGCTGCTTCTGCTTGTCGAGTGGCGGCGGCATCGCCTCCACGACGATGCTAGATGCGCCGCCGCCGCCGTTGCAAATGGCGGCGCAGCCCCTCCTACCCCCCCTGGAGCGCAGCACGTTGAGCAAAGTCACTAGGATGCGCGCACCGCTTGCACCGATAGGATGCCCTAGAGCCACACTCCCGCCGAAGACGTTGACCCTGAAAAGGCCGTGTAGCCGGTAGCCCCAGCAACTGCCTGTTGACCAGGTCAACGACGCTGAACGCCTCGTTGACTTCCCAATAGTCCACGTCAGATGCTGACGTCAGCCCCGCGTGTTTGAGTGCGCGTGGTACTGCTAGCGCCGGGGCTGTCGTAAACCATTCTGGCGATTGTGCTGCGTCAGCAAAGCCCCGTACCGCCGCCAGCAATGGCAAGCCCAGACGCTGTACGGCGAATCGATGCGACCCATTTTCACCGCGGGGGAAAGGAAAACGTGTGAGTTATAAACACAATGCCGTGCGCACACATTGCTTGGCAAAAAGGTGCGAGAGGAAAAGTGAGCCCTGCAGGACAGTACGACAGAAAGTTCGTACCTGTACGGCTTCATAACTCGCTATCACCAATGCCGCCGCCCCATCGGTCATAGGCGACGCGTTGCCTGCTGTGACCGTTCCGCCGTCACGACGAAAGTACGGCTTAAGCGCCGTCAGCCGTACAGGGTCCATCTTCGAAAGACTTTCATCCTCCCAGATGTACGACCCTGCTGTGGCGGCGGCGGGACCCGCTGCTGCAGCCGCCGCCGCAGCTGCGGCGGCGGCCACCGTGCCGTACAACGACGGCGGAGTTCCACCGCCGCCGCTACCACTGCTGCCGCTCGCGCCGACGCCGCCAGGAATACCGATCGTCGCGCTGCGTGACGCTGGTCCCTCCGCGCCGCTACTGCTACCGCTACTGCCGGCTGCAGCCCCGGCGCCAGCCACGTTTGGCGACACATTCGCACGTCCGCCGCCTCCGCCAGGCCGCGGCACGGGTACGATCTCCGCCGCTGTGTGTCCCGCCGCCGCCGCCGCCACTGCCCGCCGGTGGCTTTGCAGCGCATGCTCGTCCTGCGGCGGTTATTGGCGGTTAACGACGGTTAATGGGCTGCGGCGGTTATTTTTAGTGTGTATGTGTGTGTTTACCTTCCGTACGGAACACAACGCCGTGCCGCGTTTTCCCCCCCCCCGTCAGTTCCAACCCCCAACCACCCAACTACCAACCCCCAACCCCCCGCAGCGGGGCCCCCAACCGCCGCGACCTACCTGCTGCTGGCGGCCCACTGCGAACCTGTCCGCGCACATCTCTGCACAGCTGCCCATGTGGATGTTGCCGTACGGGTCCCACAGACCGTCCTTGACAAGACCGTCCACAACGGAGCCGTCGCCTGAACATCAGTGAACATCAACAACAGGAAACATCAGCACGACACAATAACAAAATATCATCAAAAAGAGCTACATCACCAGCGGCCCCCCCCTACTACCACCGCTACCACCGCACACATGGGCCCTCGCTCTGTCACTATGCCACAACAAACCTGCTCCCCTTCCTCACCCAACTAACCCACCTGCCCTGTCCTTCCCACGCCTTCGTCTTATTGCCCGCGGCGCCGCAGCGCCCAGCAACACCCGCAAACACCACCTCACAGCATCACCACCACCTTCGCCATTTCCCTCATCGCGGCTCACTAAAACCACTAATCACAGCGCCTTTCACAGCACCAAGGGGCACACCTTTTGGCTTTCTTTTGGCTTCTGGAGTACCTCTTTTTGACGCGAGCTTTTCTGCTCCGACACCTCTAATACAACATACAACATCTACTCGAAGCGCTCTACAAGGGTGTCAAGGCTGTCTACAGGCGTTCCAACAATTGGAAAACCCTAACAAGGACACGTCGCAGGTGGCTTCCGAACTTGCTTTGGTTCCTGAGAGTTATCCTCGAGTACCACCGTCCGCATTGGGCTCCTTACCGAAGATTAAATCATTAAACGAAAAACACGTACACGCAACCCCCCATATACACACACGCACGTACCAACCCCTCCCCCCCGTATGGCGCACTCTATGGAGACACCCACCCAGTCTCAGGCCCTTCCTGGCCCCAGGCAGGTAATGTGGGGCGTTACTCATGCTCTCCATGCCGCCAGCCACAATGACGTCAGCAGAGCCTGAACGCAACCGGGTGTGGGGTTGGGGCCGGGGGGGGGCCGGGGGGGGGAGGGTTGCGCGGTGGGGATGAAACGGGGGTTGGACTTGGAAGAGACTCTTCCTCTTCCTCTTCGCCCCGCTCTCTTCTAACCACCCAGCAACCGAACCCTAACGACAAACGACTAACAACCTATTCCGCCGCGGAAACCTCACCCGCCATGATCGCCTGTGCCGCCAGCATCACCGCCTTCAGCCCCGAGGAGCATACCTTGTTCACCAGCGTGCAGGGGGTGCTGGGGGGGAGCCCGGCAACGAGGGCCGCCTGGGTGGCGGGAGCCTGATTCCGCAGGGGGAGGGAAAGGAGTTGGGGGAGGGTGGAAAACCCACACGCTCACACTTGGTGGGCGAGGAAAAGGGTGAAACGCACAAGGGGGTTGTCGGTGACGTGTCCAATCGATGCGGGCTTATATCTGTCTGAGGATTTGACAGCAGCAGACAGCAGCTGCAGCAGCAGCAGCAGCAGGAGGGTCGCACCTGGCCGAGGTTCGCGGATATAACATTGCCAAAGATGACCTCATCGACATCTTCCGGCCGCACACCAGCCCGCTCAAGGGCTCCTAAAAGTGGAACAGGGGCACCATGATATCATCCTAGATTTGTTGAGGAGGTAAGGACACCAAAGGTAGAGGAAATAATAGAATTCTGTCGAGTTCATAAAGTTCTTACTAAGAGGCAGATTCTATCGTTGGCTGCATAAGCGTGACACAGGACGGGCGTGAGTTAGGGCATCAACTAGTCTACGGGTTGAAATAAGCCTGACATGCTTTCATGAGATCGTAAGGGCATGCAGTCAATTCCACTCAGCCAATCCATTATAAGAGTAGAGAAACGTCGGCACCGCCTAACTGTTCCGGTACTGTCACAAGCTGTAATTCGATCAGCTGTATTCCTCAGTTTCACTGCCTACCCCCGGGGTAATTGACCTTGAAAGCCGCAAGAGTGACTTCAACCAGGGTTAGGTCCAAACCTCACCCAGCCAAGCGTCAACGAACATGGGCAAAAAGAAGGCGTTCATCAACAAGAAAAAAGCCGTCACCTACAGCTTGGTTTACCGTGACCCCTCCGAAGACCCGGACGGCGAGGATGGCGGCCAACGCGTCCTCGCGCCTGTCGGAGGCCCTCGCGGGCTGCATCACACATCAGACGATTATTCCGATACCTACGAGTACGAGGACTCGGTGTATGACTCAGAATACACCTTCTCCATGTCCAGGTACGGTGCGATGCCATGCGGATTGTTGCAGCTACGCCGCCACTGCTATCCACCAGCCAGTCGTGCAACTTGGTGATAACAAACAAGCCTTTCGACGAGACACAAGGACCAGTTTCCATAGAATGGGGAAAGGGGACAGGGAATAGCCCCCGGGATAGTCCACGAGAAGTAAAAGAACAAAGGACAACCTTCCCGAAACTCTCCCCCTCACACACATCCCTCCGCCAAGCCACCAAAACAGGTCTCCGCCAAGCCTTCCCCGCAGAAAACCCCCACTTCACACGTCCAGCTGCAATATCAACTCTCCAGCAAACCTACAGCTACAACAAGGAATCCTACTACTTGCCTTATTCTTACCAGATGAATTATTGCTATCCTGCCACATGGCACCCTGCTAATCTCGGCCCAAATGAATCCACCCTCCCATAACTCAATCAACTAAGGTTGCTCCCGTGTGCACCTTTCCGTGTGCGCCACCCAAACCCCATGCCTCACCCTTTCCATCTCAGTGCTCAGCTCAACCTCTAGTCGCATAACCCGCCAGGTGAGACCAGGCCCCAGCCGCGCTAATAGCTGCAGGGCCCCTGCATTCAGCCGCGGCTAGCACCAACAGCCGCGGATGCAGCCGCTCTGCTGCCACTCTGCCTTACTCGCCAACGTCTTCGATAACACCCATCACCCGCCAGGCCTTTCGTTGCCTTCCCCCCATGCTCCGACGTCTTCAGCATCTCCCTGGCACTTTGCTCCACGTGCTTGCGTCTCTATCACCGACCCCCCAACCCATCCCGGCCTGCCCTGACCATTGTGAGTCGGCCCAAACGCAATACCCACTAAAGCAATTTGGATGGTACGACATTGGCAGCCGCCTCCCAGCATTTTCCGGTGTCTGCATGCATGGTTGTACCAAACCCAAAGCAGCTTCCACACCCCGTGCCTCGTTGCCGCTGCAGCAGGGAGTGAGAGGCAGAAGTCAACTTGAGAAGAGTGGGAAGACAGTCGACAAGCAGGAACACAATCGTGTGCTGATCCCGTACATGCCTCATCACACGTGTACCATGAATGGGGACTGTGGGGCCTGCAGCTATGAGGACAGACATACACAGGTGGTGACATTGCACGAGCCCACCTGCTTACCTTGCTATCCGTGGGCTGCTCCATGGCCAACACGTCCTACAGTCATATCCCCGCAAGCCACTCGTGCGCCAGTGCGCCCCTAGCATCCAGCTCCCGGTTAGACAGTGCGCGCTTGAAGGCCACACCGCTGGCGCTGAGCTCGAAGGGCAGGTAGGCCAGAAGGCAGTGCGACACGAGGCAGAGGTCCGACGCGCGCGTGTAGCGGCCATCCACCGAATCCAAGATGGGGTTGAACTCCGGCCACGTCGCCAGGGGGAAGGGTGACTGGCGGCAGTCCTGAGAGCTGTCAGCCCGCCCTGTTGGCACAGCGACCGCAACGTGGGCATTATTTTACCCCTCATCATGACGAACGGCAGGAGCAGTGAATAAAACGACAATACTGCGGTAAGGTCTGCTACCTACCTAAACAGGAGACGACCCTGTGCCTGGAGGCTGTAACACTAACAGTAGTAATACATTCCAATTAAGTCGAGGCCGACTCGTACATTTTCATTACTTCATCCAAAAATGACGGACAGCTCTTAAGTTCAGAAACATAGTATCTGAATTATAGAATGCAATGAGGGGTCATGGATGGTCATTGAAAGGTCACGCCCGTGAGTCAACGCGGCATAGCAGCATACATGACTGTTCAAACACAGCAAAATATGCACAGGCCAAGGAAAAACAGCAAAGCAGCAAAATTACTAAGAATTCTTAGTGACACTGTTGTTAACACTGTTGGGACACTGGTGCTAATGTCGGTCACACACCGGCGATGGTGAGTTTGTGAGTGGACTAGTTGTAACTTGCGGGGGAGTCTGGGGCCCCCGGAAGCCGCCCCAGCGCCTCACAGCTAGGTAGTAAACCGCACAAAACCCTGGAAATCTAATATTTGATGATAAGTAATAAAAAGGGACCCTCAGGCCCTAAACGAAAAAAACACTGGGCTGTAATTGAAAAGCCACCCACCGGCGTGCTCCAAGTCAATCAGGATGAACATATCCGCCACGTTGGGTGCTGAGCCTGGCACCATGATCACATTGGCCCAGCGAATGTCCCGGTGCACGAAGCCTGCAAGAGGAAAATCATAAGGCCAGCGAGAAGTGGTAACCTTGAGCAGCAATACCAGTAGCAGCAATACCAATAGCAGTTTTATCAATAGCAGCAATACCTGCCTCGCCATCAGTGTATACACACACACACCTGCTGCATGGAGCGACTCAATCCCAGTGAGCACGTCCAGAATCGCCTGCTTAAGGCTGGCCTCGTCCCCGGGCGGCCCGTACTGCGGCACACCGTGGGGCACCAAGTGCAGCACCAGCGTCTTGCCGTCTAGGTGGATGGCGTCCATGTCATTGGATGAGTGGAGCCGTACAAGGTTTGGGCACTGCGCCAGCGCGGCATTGGTGTACAGCTCCTGTGAATGGGTCATGTAACCAGAGGTTTGCATGTCAGCATGCTATGTAGGACACCATGCTGACTGTTCAGGGCCCAGCAGGTGATGTGTACCTTGAGAAGGCTGTAATCGTTAACACCAGAATGCTGCTCCTCGAAATTATAGACACGCTTCTGTACAAAATCTGCAAGACATGTACATACGGCGGGTTTCATTAGGCCAAATTATGGCTGCCAGTGTCTACATGACTGCAACCCCGCAGCACCTTCAAAGAATCTGACAGTACGGAGGAGCTCTCCACGGTAACCCATGGATTGAATCTCGCTTCCGAGGGCGACCGGAATCTTAGGCGCGTGTGGCGCGTACGACACCAGCAGGCGCACGATGTTGAATGTGCAGTGCAAGGCTCGGATGCGCCCCAAGGGCGTGCTCAGATCGTAGAGACTGCTGATTGGGCGAACTTCAACTTTACCACTGGAAGAAAAAAAGAACACCGTCGGGCACAGGGGGCAGAAGTTTCCCTATGGACATGAGTGTAGGTGCATCTATATATTGAGGAGTGACTACAGACCATCTATTGCCAGGCAGATCTGTTGTACCATGGCACGTTCTGTAGACCAACCTATACAATAAACATATGTTACAATCAATTTCTCAGTGCTATCTATTGTAGGATGACCCTGTCCGACATCGTTTAGAGCCCTCAGAGTTCATCCGTACCTGTTCCAGATGGAAAAGAACTGGAGCATGGTACCAGCAGCCGCGTAGGCTATCATGCACGGCATGCTGACGCCAGGCAGCAGCTCTGGCACCCTGGTGGGGTGAACATGACAAGCATCAGACCAGCCCCACGGCTCTCATACCAGCTGTTGTGCTTGCACTACCACGTACCACGGGCGTGCCATCTTGTCCGATAGCTCTTGAATGGCCACCTTTGAACATGTGGCAGAAAGGAAAGGAGCGGGGGTCAAGGGGCTCAGGGCCGCTACAGGGTTATGCTAACTTTGCTTGCATATGCCTGCCCAGGTTAAGTCCTACCTGCATGCCTGATGCCGATGCCTTCTTCTCGCCCTTAAATACTAGGGCGTTATTTATCCAGCAGACGTAGTCGGGCCGTTTCCGTCGAACTGTGTCTCAGGGGCG